AGTAACCTTACCTTACATTTATTATTCAAATTTCAAACTTCCACGTACATACATAGGTACATAAAGCACCCTAATTTATTTTATACTAATATTCATTTATTAGAATATTATGTTCATTTTGTTAAATTATCGATCCAAGAATTAAAACAGATGATAACAATTAATATATTATATTATATATAAAAATTAAAAAGTAAAACATAATAAGGTGAGTAAATTTAATATTTTTTAATCACAGCTTGTAGGTACCTACCTAATACCTATACTATCTTCTATACCTATATCTTATAAATTGACTACGAATAATGTCGACATACTATTATATTATGGCTATTATGCAATAATATAATACAGTTTATGAATTTAAATAATGATATTTATTTTGTATAATTATTGGTGATTATAATAACACATTTTTCAAATTTTTCATGATTTTGTTTTATTACCGGAATTATTGTCATAACACATATCATACAATAAATACACATATTTGTTTATATGTAAATGGTTTGTATTTTTTGTAAATTATTCCCGCTTCAAGCGGATTGTTCATCCTGGTTTCGTCTTAAACGGGTAATGAATGATGATTGATTGACTTTTCAATTGCCGATTTTCGTGTGCCGTTAGAGATTGTTAAAAACTCAAACTCGACTTCAAAACATTCCTGCCTATTAAACCACCTATGAACGCCAAAATCACCTCCATTACATTTCAAGTGCTACTTTTATAATTCCAAATTAAATGGACTCTATCTCCGTAATCAGTACCCACCTTCAACTAGGGAGGAGTCCTGAGGTCTCCCTCGGTTAGCTCGGAGTGCTAATATTATACCTAATATAATACGACTGTACCGGTAATAATATATTCAGTGATTTTATAATACCTAATAAATAATAATAATGGTCACAGCCCACAGGATAACTGCATCACACACGTCGTCTCCGCGGCGCCGTTTTATTTTATATTATATTATTATTAGGATGCTTATTGCATTTTATACACCGAAAAAACCATAATGCATTATCAGGATTCAAGATATGAACCGCGTTCGAAATAGTCTGCAGTCGCACACACTTGCACGATGCACGTTATTAAATATATACTGTAATATAGGTATAATAATATATTTGAAACAATTTGACCAGTGGTCAGCAATAGGCGGCCCGCGGGCCAAATCCGGCCCGTGAAGGAAAAATAATTGGACCACAAAAAATATTTATTTTTTTAATAATGCTGATTTTCCACACATAATATGTATTTTATGATGTATTTAGAGATTACGATGGTGCTTATAGTTTATTACTATTTACAATAATAGTTGCGATAACACAACAATTATTAACTAATATCTGAGTTTTTAGTTTTTACTGGCCCTCAATTTTTTTTTTTTTGATTTTCTGGACCTCCATAGAATTTAATTGCCGACACCTGGATTAGACCGTCCTCCCGGCTCCCATCGATGCCATATTACGTATTTACGTTCTATCATCGCGACATCGCGTCTTGCTCGTTCGCTTGTCCCTTCTCCCTATCCACACATCGCCGACGTCGTTTTCTGCGTGTATTAATTACTTTGTCTTTCGTGTACACTTTTGAGTTGTTGACTCTACAGCCTACGACTTTACGCAGTCTACAGTCTACACAGGCACACATCAATACATCATTAACCCTTGGTACTATTATTATTTATTATTTATTATCGACCAAACGTCCAACACCAAAAGTTACGTCTTCATTGTTCACATATCAACTACAATTTATTAAGTATATGTAAGTATATAAACATATAAGTTTTAATTTAAGAATACAAAATAAATACTTAAGGTGGGTGTTGGTTAGGTAAATATAGATTAATATCTTCATACCATTGATTTTAATCAATGCTACAAGGAATAAAATACCTACTTGACGTAGGTACTAAAATTAAAATATAAAAACTATCTAAGTTTACTTAAATTAAATTGTTACTCTTGAATTTATTAATAGGTCAATTCCTTAGTCGATAATCATTGTTATATTAAAAATTAGCTACAATATAATACTACAATTATTAGTGTAATTTGTTTGATTTTATAAATACAATTAATAAGTAGCTTAAAGTCTAAATTATGTTTAGGTATATTTTTAGTACTTAGCTATGTATATTTAAGAAATCCATGTATAGGTACCAAATTTTGTAAAATGAATTATTAGTTAATAATTATAATAATAAACTACAGTTGGTATTTTATTTTCTGTATTGATTTGAATCTATTTTTTAAAGATTTTAGACTAATGTAACTTACATATAACAACTTTTTGTATTTTTATTACAATATATTATATTTTTATTTCATGTACCTACATTTTAAATTTATAATATGTACTTTTGGATATAAAAATACATTTATGTGTCAGAAAACAAGCTACTTTATTATTCAATTTGTATAATTATATAGATAGGTGTCTTTTAAATAATTATTTTGCGAGAAAAAAAAATTTAAAAATTTAAATGTCGAGAAATTTATTGATAGACGTATCATTCCAAATTAAATAGAATTTTATAATTATAGTGCATGAGCTTTATCTAAAAATATTGGTAAATAATATTATATAATTTATTGCACGTATTATCTTCAATATAATATATCATAGAAATAAAAAAAATTTAATTTACTTTTATACTAAAATTTGATGAAATATTTGTTCCAACAAGTTTCTCTGAAGCTCGTACTAAAGTTTTAAGAGCATAAGAAACATCAAAATTATCATCAAATGACAATGATAAAAATACCAGAAAAACGAGAAGGAAAATATGTTTCTTTCCTATTGATAATGAATCTTTATTCAAAAATCAAAACTTCCAACTCCTCCCAACTTGATTCAAAATTATGATTAAAAAGGTAAATATAAATATAGATATAAATTTAAAAAAAAAAAATGTAATTGCCTATCTCAGTTATATTGGTATTAACCATATTTTAATTTAATTAACATGAAACCTTTTCTTATTTAAGTATATTAATATATAAATATATTATACCTATTCTACTACTATTTTATTTTTATTTTGTTTGTATTGAAATCTATGGTCTAGATATGAATAAACCAATTGGTATAAAGACTTAGGAAATATTTTCACAAAATTCATCTTCTAATCATTGTGAATAAAATGCTGATTATCATGGCTCAACTTTAAAAATAAATAAATCAACTCAGTCTATGCCACAAGCATTGCACACCAATCAAGTACTCCATGAAACACCACAAAATATTGATTGTTATTTATATTGATAATGCTTCTGATATAAAAAATGAACTTTAAGTTATATATTTATAATCAATAAATATATAATATAGATAATATAAATACCTTGATATCTGTATAATGAATTTTATATTCTTTTTATAGCTTTAAAACAAATTGCAAACTGAAATCAAGTCGTCATATAATATGAAATAAAGAATATACAAGAAAGACTTGATTTGATTTTAAATATTGGATAAATTAATAAATAAAGACCGAATTTTGCATAAAATGCATGTTGCTATTTTCAACATCATATATTCATATCATGTAGTCAATGAGTGTCTTAATTGATGGATTAAGTATCAAAATAATATACTGCATATTTTTACATATTCTGTATAGTTTTGCATTTTTTAACAAAAAACTATACAAATATACACTGAACAATCCAAAAAGAAGTTGAGAAAAAAAACAGATTAAAGATATGTTTATATAATATCATATATTTTAGGTCTCAGAGAAGAATTTTGATAACTTATTATTTTTCCAATTAACATACTACATTAAACCATATTTTTTTCCTATTTATATCACCAATATGTCTACTTGTTCATTTTAATGAAATATTTTTTTATAATGTATTACCTAATGATAGAAAATTAAATTAAGATTTAACAAATTACATTTTTGTATTGTATATTTGCTATATTATACATCTTATACTTTTTGTTTATGAAAATTTAAATAAAAATAATAAATTATTATCACTACAAAATTAAAATTAAAATTTTATTTTGAAAGTTATAAATTTTTTTTTGCATATTTTTACTTTTTTTAGTGCAAGTTTGTGTGCATATTTTACAATTTAAAATGCATACAAATACGTCTTTATTAATAAATAATCAAACCATTGATTATACAGAATATAATTATGAAGAATTCTTAACCTCCATGGAAAGTGATGAGGAGTTGGAAAAATGGAAAGTAAAATAAAAACTGATTTAGCTTAAAGAAAAACTGTGGTAATTAAATAGCGCATAGTTTTAACAGTATTTAATAAAAATGTATATAATATGATTTTTACAGGTTATAGAATTATTCAGATAAATGGGACAAAATTTGTCAGAAACTGTTCGAAAAATAATGTAAAATTTATTCAGTGATAATTTGCTTACATTCTTCTCTTATATAAGCTTCAAAGGAAAAAAACAATTTTCAACTCTACAAACTTGTGCAATTATATTCGGTAATTCATATTTTATAAAAAATATAACCCATACTTTTGCATTAAAGAAAAATGCAGCTAATCAAATCAGATATTATCTAGTTACAATTTTAAGTTAGGTCTCTTATAACTTTATAAGGAATTGGATATATACCTATAATTTATTTTAATTTAATTTTAAATGGAACTTACAATAGTATATATTTTAAATATGCTAAATAAGTTTTTAATTAAATAAGAATTGTCACATTGGTTTTAATTTTGACTTATTTATAATTTATTGGTCATTGATATCTTTTAAGGCTCAGTTATATTGTATATAAATAATAAAAATTAGGTTAACAAAGTTAACCATAATTCTTGTAGCTCAAAAATAATTAATTTCATTCTTGTAAAACCACTTTGTGTAAAGTAAAACTTCATTGGTATCTATTATAAGAAAATGTATATAATTAATAAATTATATCATTAAATATAATGATAATAAAATAATAACATATTTTAAACATTTAAATGATGTAGTTTTATTATTATTAATATTCCCATTTTAGTATGACAAATGTTAAAATGTGTATAAAATTAAACTAATAGTCTCTCAATTTCAGCCTGAACTTGTTACATTAATTCTAACAATTCAGACTCTAATTGTGAAATTTCTTCAGTGGTAAAGGAACTTATGGAACACGCTATGACTGGCCTTGAAACTCCACATGCTCGGCCTAATGCTGTTAAAAGTTAAAATATATATGAATTTGATAAGTGTTTGTAAATGATTAATTTAAAACACTAACCTTGTTTTGATCCAATAAAAATATATGGTATATTTTCGTCCTTGCATAACAAAATCAATTTTAGCAAAAATGCTAAAGGTTCTGCATCTGCTGCACAAACTACGAACTCAGCAGTACCTCTATTTAAAGCTTTAGTGGCTAAAATGTATAACACTATTAGCATATTATCAATTAAAAAATATTTTTTACAATATTAACCTTCATTTGCTCCTACAAATAGTTGATTACAGTTCAGTGCTTGTCGAATCAAGCGTAAAATTTGTTTGGTCATCTGCTGGTCAGCCAAAGGATCTGGTTTAAGGTGAACATTTGTCAAGATTCCCTGGTTGTTCATCCTTAAATGTAATACAAATATTATATTATTCAAAGATTTACTACAACACTAGCTTGTGATGGTTGAAACAATTAAAATACAAATATTGAATATATTAATTTTAGCTCTAAACAAAGAATCAAAAACTTTGTTATAAAATTCCATTTTATATCTGTTTATACGGACTGGTAGTAAAAAAGTTCCAATTTCAGTTCATACTATGCTATTGTTTTACATTAGCTAAAATGAAAACTATCAACTTTATCAAGAATGGCGAAAATCGTGCAAAGCGTCTCTAGAAGAACTTCATGTCAGCAGAAATCGAGTCTTCAGTGAAGCTTTTAACAGTTTTTATCGACATAAAACACACAATAACTACCAGAATAATACACCCGTGCTGGGTCGGACTTGGCAGGCGGAGTACCGGAAGTTTCCCGGTGAGCCGCTTGTACTCGTAGAGAGGTTTTTTTCAGGTTTATTGGTTAAGGCTCATTCTATCGACAGACATAAACACATTTTCTAATGCGATTGTATTAGAAAACTGTCTAGCTGCGACTCTTGAGTCAAGATCATTTAGAATCATTTATGCTTATGTCAACTGAAATCGAATCTGATATTTTGATGGCATTGGATAATGAAATCATATTTGACACAATTTCGTAAAAAAGCTTAAACCTTTACAAATTGCTTAGTATGTATTAATGCGTATTCTGGAGTCTAAATATATGTATTTTAAATAAAAGTGATAACATTTCTTTGTACTAACCAATTTTTAATTTTTTTAATTTTTAATAATAATTTTAAGTTTTCAAATTCTCAAAATAATATACTATCATTTCATAAAAAAATATATGTTTTTAAGGTTGTTTTTATAGGTTTTCCTAAGTGGGCGAATTTTTTTATTTTTCTGATAGAAATTTTTAACCCGATCTGGCCCTGCACCCATCTTCTTTTGCACAAGTTGTGCTATTGAAACGAGACAGGCACTCAAAGCAACGAAATTTGGACATTTCGTGGACAGACAGCTGTCGCCACGACAGACATTCCGACATAAAAACCAGCACGTAAACTGATAATGCTGTCTAACTGGCACAGTGACGTAATTTTGGGGGGTTATGGGGATATATCCCCCCCAGAGGCTTTTTTTAAAAAAAAAAACTATAATTAAATTCCCGTAAGCACAAGTCTAGATTTTTAAATCCAAAACATCATAATTTCAGTTTTCAAGAAATTCAAATATCAATATAATAATAAATTAACTTTTTTTTATATTTTATCCTTTCCACATCTATTTATAGTTTTATTATTAATCATTTTCTATTTTTATACCAATATGTATTTATTGAGATCGGCTGACTCGAGTCTCAACTCTCAATAGCAGCTAATAGTGAAAACTGGAAACATGTTTTAAAGTTTCATAGTTTAAAATTATTATTTATTTGTTTTATTCATGTATTTATTTTTCGACATTTGTATTTATTTCTCATCCGCGAACAGTCGAACGAATCAAAATTAAAAGTGTTTTAACAGCTTGTTAAAATGGATAAATTTCTCGTAAAAATATCGAAGTCAAAAGTAAGTATTTATTTTTACTTTACATTCATATAATTGTTTAGTACACTTATTTAGTATGCATTAAGTTTAAAGTACTTAACCCTTAAAATATATTACTGATTAATATTATATTATTGAGCAAATTAAATTTATTTTGGTATTTATATTTTTTATTATTTTGATACTAATTGTTGTACCTGCTTATTAGAAAAATACTAATACAAATGCTGTGCAAAATGTTAGCTTATCTAAAGAAAACCTACATATGCCAGCAAAAAGATTAAAAGTGGTAAATATAATTAATACTTAATTTCATATCATATACAGTTTATTGAAATTATATTTATATTAATTTAATATAATTAACAATTTTATGATATTTTGTTAAATACTTCTACCTTAATTCAAAGTAAAAATTCTGTAACTAGTTATGTTTAAATAATAATAAATGTTTTGGTTAATTTGTGTAATATAAAATTTATAAATATATATTTAAATGATGTTTGTTTTAATTTGATTGATCATTTTAGGATATTCTACCAAATACCAAGGGTAATCAAATTCAGAATGTTGTATCTAGTCAGATTAGTGTATCAAAATCAGATCAAACTATAAATATATCATTGGTAAATAGATAAAATCAATTATTAGGTATTATTATGTTATTGAGTAAATTAAATTTATTTTGGTATACTACCATAGACCATAGACGTGCGCACAGGGCGTGCCGGGCGTGTCTGGGCACTACCCGAACAATTTTAAAATTTTAACAGACTTTTTGTATGCTATTTCATTGAAATACATCGAAGATATTTATACGATTATAAAATACTAAAATGCTAAAATTGTGTTCATTTTTTTTTTTTTTTTTAATTTTTTTTCAGACTATGTAACAATAATTTATTATTTTACTATTAGCAGTTATTATCAGTATCTTATTTTTATATTAAAACCATGATAGGATGTTATGAATTGAAAATACCCAACCACTAAGTTATTTATAGAATATAATAAACAAACAAAAACAACCGTATGCCGTATGATCACTAACGTCATTTCGTCACCCGATTCTAACAACAGCCAATGCGTACTCATTAGTCATTTATTCTCTCTGTGTATTGTGTAATATTTTAACAATAATTTTAAAAAATGAATTCATTGAATTCCAATAAAAGAACCAACCAGAAAATCATAAACTTTTTTTCAAAAAAATCTATGTGTAGTTCAGGTAAGCTGTGTTAACAAGTTAGGTATTTAATATTTATACGTTTTTGTATTTAAGCTGTACTAATAAAAACTATAAATCAGTGTACATTATCATTTATCAATATTAATAATTATAAAATTTTAAATAATATACCTACAAATAATTAATTATTTTTTCTTTTGGTTTTATAAGAACATCTCAGGTGAAATAAAACATATGAAAATATTGAGATTGAAATATCAGTAAAAGAAGGTAAACATTTTTCTTTAACAATTAAAATTGTATATAATATTTTAGATTCTGAGCTAATTTATAAATACAATATTGTACTAAACAAGAAACACAAAATTAAATATGTAATGAAAAGAGTTTTAGTATTATAATTTTATTATAGTACCTACCCATTTAAGAAAAGATAATTTATAATAATTAATAATAAGTAATAACAATTAAAAATTATGTTTTTACTTGTTTAATTTAAATATAATAAATAATATATTATATGTATATAATATTACCTTTTATTTCAATGTATACAATTTCACTAACCTAGATTTGAGTTCATTTTTGGCATGTTTATGATGCATCCAATATTAAATCTTATTTTAAAAGTTAGTTCAGTTCTTCAACCACCAAAACTAAATCTTTTGTTGGCAATTGAAATAATTGTTCCAGATGTTATTCGCAGAAAAGTATCGACTCAAATTGATAAACAATCAAAATCTCAATTTTTTTTTTGAAAATAAATTAGATGAAATATGATGAAATGAAGATATCTGTTTATTATGAACTACTTAATGATTTATTGTCAGCAATGGATTCAAGATACAACCTAAAAACTTTAAGCTTAATTGAGGCTATTGCTAGTCTGCTACGCATGGAATAAAACCAAAAATGATTGATGTTTTAGCTAAGTTTTCAAATACTTCAAGTACAAATCTAAAAACTGAAATAAACCTTTTAAAACATTTGCCTAAACCTGTTAAACCTGATGATATCTCAAGTGAATCTATTTATTTGTGGCTTGATTGGCTGAAAACTAACAATAGTATATCTACATACAGTTGTTTTTATAAAACCTTGCAATTATTTACCATTATCCTAGTTACAAGCTGTACACGTGAAAGAGTTTTTTCAAAAATGACAATTATCAAAACTAAACTTAGGAGTACAATGAAACAAGAACGATTAGATTCTTTACTTTTACTATTCACTGAACAAGAGTTAACAAGTGGTAAAGATATGGATTCTGTTATTGATGAATTTAATACGTCAGAAAATAAACGAATGATACTTTAAAAATTTAAAATATATACTTATAAATTATAATTAATAAATACATTATAACATACAAATGTGACTTGTGCTTGCTCTATTTTTTTTTTTTTTTTGATAATAATTATACTATGCTCTGTCTCTCTGTGTATAATATATAACATACATTTTTCTAAAGCACGCCCCGAATTTTAAGCCTGCGCACGTCTATGTATACTGCATATTATAATATGCATGAAATATGCATAACATAACATTATAGCTTAATATACACATGCTTTATTCTTCTTAAATTTTAAGATTGAATGCTTAAGTAGTAATGCACAATGCTATCAAAATGATATAGGTTTATTTGTTCATAAACATGCTTTGATTGATGAAGATAAATATCTTGTAAGTTACTTGTTTAGTATATACTATATGTTAATTAAAAATGTTTCATAATACTTGGCTAATTTAAAAATTCAACTGTCAAGAATATTTTTTTATTTGTGTTTATTCTAAACAAAAATTAACAATAATTTATCAGTTAGATTTAGAAAAGTAAGTACTGATTTACTAAACATGTTTTTTTTTGTACATTACATCACACATGTACCTAGTACCATTACTAAGTACCTAATTAATAATTATGTAATATGCAATATTATTTTTAAACATATTTACTTTCTATATTTTATATAATTTTAATTAGAGTTGAACAAATCAAATTAAATAGAAAAAAAGCTATCCCAATTATTAACTGTATGATCTTATGTGGTCATCAAGAAATAGCGTTGCAAGGCCTCAAGGATTCTGGAAGTTAGTATTTAATGTTTATAAAATGTATATATATTTTTTAAGTATTAATTTAGTATTTTTAATAAATGCATCTATTCAATTTTAAACAGACAGCAATGACCAATCAACCGATCTGGGTAATTTTAGAGCTATACTTAACTATCGTAGTGAAGGTGATGATAATTTAAAACATCATTTAGAAGCACAAGGAAGAAACAAATACATTACTCCTCAAATTAAAAATGAAATTATTTTAGCATGTAGAGAAATAATTTTAAAAGAAATAGTAAATGAAGTAAATTACTCTCATTGTTTTACCGTGTTAGTAGATGAAACCACTGACATAGCAGTTGTTGAACAGTTAGCGTTATGTGTTGGATATGTTGTTTCAAAATATAATATTAAAGAAAATGTTCTTAAATTTATACCTGCAAGCCTAACTGAGAAAAATCTAGCCGAGTCTATTATAAGTGGTAATTAATAAATAAAATGTTTTATACTTTAGAATACTTTACTAAGATTTTATTCTTTAGGATTAAATGAATGTGGAATAAACTGCAATTTCCTTTATGGTCAAGGATATGACGGTGCTTAAAACATGTCAGGCCAGTTCAATGGTGCACAAACACACATTAGAGCTACTTTTCCTAAAGCGATATAATATGTACATTGTGCAGCCCACTCATAAAACTTGGCTGTATCAATTGCATGTAATATATAACCCAAACTGTTAGGGCATTTTAGAGAAATTATATATTTTCTTTAATACACCTAAACGTCATAATGTGTTGTTATCTTGTATTGAAAATAGCAATACTGATATCAAAATAAAAAGCCTTAAAAGACTATGTGCTACAAGATGGGCCCAGAGCTATGATGCTGTACATGATTTTGTGGAATTATTTGATTTTATATTAGAAGCCTTAGAACTAATTTCAGACTGGAAAGATTCATCAGGAACTGCTATAAAAGTCAATATGCTTATAAAACCAATTTATTCAGAGTTCATTGTATCAGTTTATGTTGTTAAGGTGAATAACATTATTATTTTTTTAATTTAAAATAATTTATTTCTTAATCTAATGTAAATTATATATTTTAGCAAAGAATTACAAGAAAGGTTTTTGTCTCATTCAGATATTTTAAAAGGTACAATGATATAACATAATATTTATAAGAATTGCATATTATAATATAAATATTATTAAAAAATCATTAATTCTTAATTATATTTATGTAGGGTTTGAATGCTTATTTTCAACGAATTCAAACTTAACCGAAGATGAAGAATTATCATTCAAAAAATTGATAGAATTTTATAGTCCTGGTGTAGAATGTTTTAACAAATCATTATTTGAATTAAAATTATGGAAGCGTAGATTAATAAAATGTAAAAAGCTTCCAAAATCTGATCTCCAAGCACTTATTATGTGCAATAAACAAATTTATCCAAACATATTTTTGCTCTTAAAAATATTATGTACATTGCCAGTCTCAACCACTTCACCAGAGCATATTTTTTCCACTTTGAAAAGAGTGAAAACTTATCTAAGAAACACTATGAGTCAGGTAATATCATTATTTTTGTAAATTACATAATAATTATGAACTTTTATTAAATTAAATACTGAATAGGAATGCTTGAATGGACTTACAATGTTATCTATGCACCGAGACATTAAGCTGAACCCCAATCACATACTAGATATTTTAGCAAAAAAAGACTAAAAGAAAAATTAATTTAATTTTATAATTTATCAAAAATATATTAAATTTAATTTAATTGTTTACTTTATTGTCTTTGAAAACCATTATTTTATCATTTACCTCGTTTAATTTATAATAATAAATTAATATAATATTATGAACTATGAGATTAAATGGTCAAGGGAAGGGAGGTGTAACCTTCCACTATGTATAACGATAGTATAAATTTATATTCCACCCCAGAACCAATTCCAAATTACGCCACTGCACTGGCAACTCATGCGTTCTGCTCGCACATGAAAGTCCGAATTTTACCAGTCGATCAAAGTTAATCTTGAAGTCGAACATTAAATGCGGGTAAGCAGTGTTAGCATATGTACTTACTTTGAAAAAATTGCGTTTAGTAACTTTTAATATCTGGAATCGAATCGGACGTCAATACTATTGAAACGACAAATAATATCTACAATTACAAATATCGCGCTAACGAAACGAGCAATGTTAACGTATAATTGTTTAGATTGAATCTACAAGGTAATGTTATTTAGTATTTACTCCGTGTCGACAATGGCTTAACAATAAAATATTATGATATATTATGGTATACCAACAACGTGAATGAGAATGAAACACTGAGTGATCATGGAGTAAAATAAGATTCGTAATTTACACCAAGAAATATTTACCTACAGTCTGTGTTTTTCGTTAATATTTTATTATGATAAAATTCCACAATATTCAATACAAAATTTTAATGTAAATAATGTAATATTTCCATTAACTAATAACTATGGTTAAATACTTGAGTATGAAGAGCTTAACTTATCGTTTTTGTATTTATTTGACGTCTATAATAATTACCTATACATTTATATCATATTTTACACAAATTTTATTCTTGTTAAATAAAATCTATTATAAATCATTTAAATCATAACAATTATTTTTAAAACATACTTAATCATGATTTATAACTACCAAGAACGACTGTACAGTGTAGGTACTGTGCAGTTTTCAATTTTACACGTTGCCTAATGTCTATTAGGAAATAGAAATGTTAGTTAGGTCTTGATGACATTAATGATTTTACGAGTATTTACATAAAGATATAAAAATTTAATTATATAATTTTATAAGTAAAATTTGATAACAATATTTTTTTTACGTTACCTGTATAGTTATTTTTATTATTTTATGAAAGAATAATTACAATACTATATAATAGTATATACTATATTGTAATATTATTATGATAGTATACACATTATATTATTAAATTAATAAGTACATTTTTTATTATTGTGAGATATTGACGTGTAAACTTGATAAAAGAGGGTATCCACTGACACTACTTCAATTTAAAAAAAAATAAGTCAGAAAAGGTTGATTCTTCAACAGAAGCTTTTAAATAAGTTTATATGCATGTATGTTCTCTAACATTAAATGACTTTTAACAATTCTTAGTGTCATGCCATTTTACCTAATAATGTTTTAAAATTGTAAAAAATATAATAAGTAAACATAACGATGTTTTAAAATTGAAAAATATACAGTAAAACTCCGATTATCCGAACATCAATCAACCGGATTAGAAAAAAAAGAGATTGTTCTTTTAATCACTCGTAAATTGTTATCGTATTTCGTCGTTCCTCATAATCCTAATCACAGATTAAATAAAGAATAAGTATTATTCGTTGTAGTAAGTCATTTGTTGACTGTTGTCGTACAGTTTAGTTTATCAATCGTTCTTAATGTTATAATGAATGAATTTCAGTGTTACAATGTCGTCTAATGAAAAACGTATAGTGCATACTATCGAATAAAAATTAGATATCGTTGCGTGGATATATATTCGTGCAATTATATCATTGTTTTTGATATGTCATAATAAAAAGTCAATCATCCGGATATTTGCTTATCCGGACCAAAGTTGACATTAATTAGTCCGGATAATCGGAGTTCTACTATATGTAAAATGTAAATATGACGATGTTTTAAAATTGAAAAATAATGTGTATATTTTAGAATGATACCAATGATACCAAAAATACTATAAAAATAAATATATGAAAGATCAAAGCATGGTATTATTTTAATACTCGTATGCACTGCGGTAGTTGTCCTATGCGCGACAGCGGCTGTCGACTCAGGATAGTTATCGATGATCGGCAATGACATTAACCAATCACGGAACACTGTTCGCCGATCGGGGTGTTCGACTGTTACTACGGCTTAGTATGCATGCATAAAAGTGGGGTTACTCAAACTGAATTGAGTATAGTAACATTAGTAACACTGTTTGATTTTTTTTTCCCAGCCCCTTCTATTCTGTGGTGTAGTTCTTTCCACTGTTCAATGATTGCCAATAATATTGTGCATTTGTGCGTCTGACTGCGTGTTGATCTGTGAAGACCATTTGAATTTTTCACCGGGTTATTTACAGGAAGATTTCGTGTGCACTGATTGACTAAAACAGCGTTTTCAATTGTCAACGCTCCGTATTTTCACGTGATCATGATGTCCCTGTTCAACAACTTTTGGAATTGGGTGACCGGTTATACTGATATCCCCAAGCGGCCAGACAACATTTTGTTTGAAAGAGACGTGACGCCAGATAATAATTTTTGGGTAAGATTCGTCGTTGTCCGTCGGACAAATTTACTTATTGGTATAATACCCATGTATGTAATATACACCCCTGTTATTGTGTTGCGGTTTTTCTGTTTAGATATCATGTATTTTGGACCCATCATTAGATATCAAGTATGTGAACGGTATAGTGACAAAAATATTGGACACTGACAGGTGTCTCATTAACCGCAAATACTACTATCAGCCTAAAACCTTGAAGGAAATTCAGGACTTCTCATACATTGAGCCCAACAGTCATGTCAGGATATCTCTCTATAGAGAAAAGAATTCTAAAAATACAGAGTGGAAAGTTGCAAGTTGTTACCTATCCAAAGACGGCCCTCTTCATCAGACCAATATGTATGTTCTATAACCATGCATTTAAATAATTAAATTACCTATAATAAATAGTAATTAACATAATATCTCTAGAATTAGATCAAACGAGTCTGCCCGTGTTCTTCTTGATGATAATAGACTTAGTTCTCAAGTTAATGAAATTTTCGAAAATGATGATGGTGTCTTCGAAAATAATGATAACAATGATCAAATGACTGTTGCAGTGTTAGGTGATATACCTAAAGTAATTAGTTTTGAACATCAAACTATTATACAGGTATTAATATTTAAATTCTCTTTCATAAAGTTTTGTATTATTAATAGCAATGTTGAACTAAGATAAATCATGAAAATATTTATTTCACTTTATATACTAGATATTACTTAGAAATAACAGCTTTGTTGAAGATAAAACATTAAATGATTATCAAACCATGCAAGGAAACAAAGTACAATTGTCAATTGTTAATAAAAATAAGTTGCCTTTAATAATTAAAGCGCAGTCAGAATATATTTTTGAAATTACTCTCAACGGAAAGTATGTTATTATCTTTGTACATCTTTTTATTGTAATAACCATTAACCAGAAATAAAACTAAACAAATGTTGATATAATATTTGATTCTCATGATACTAACAGTTAATTTCTTTTTTTTTTTCAAGATATTTAGGAAAATCTACTGAAAAGGTTGAATTTGTTTTTGAAGATATTACTTACAATGTAGATGTTAACATTGATGTTACTGATTCAAGAATTCTTCCATGTGATCAAAGAGTTTATTCTAGAAAAGAAATTGATATGAAGTAAATATTAATACTTGAAAAATAATCAATTTATCACAAGCTTGTAATTTTGTTATATTTGAACTATTACAGGATATTATTTGATTTGCAAAATGATCCAATAGTTCCTGGTATTCCAAAAGGCAATAAAACACAGTTTCCATCAGTCCGATTAGCACAGTGGAGTATTCCATCTCAATTGACAAAATGTTACTGGTCAGAAAATGGAAAATTCAATGAGTAATACAATTATATTTTTAAATGACTATACTCTTCAATAATTTTGAACATTTAAAAATTTTCTAACCTAGCTTAAAAAATTTTCTCGTTGAATTGAGTTATAAGTGTAACTGTATAGCATACATTATTATGTATACTTTTAAACAAATATTACCTAGCTACATATTAATACTATGGGATTCACTTACAATACAGATCTGTATTAATAAATCTTATGGTGATCATTGGGTTAAATATTGAAATATTTATTAAATCATGAACAAGTGAATATAATCAAACATATTTACAGCTTATTTTTTTAATTTTTATTGATTTTATTTTAAGCTCAGCAACTAAAGCCATTAGCTATGGATAGGAACAGTAGCTTTTTTTGTGTAAGGTTTGGTTAGTAAGATAAAAATACGCATGTGTATGTGTATGCGATGTGTGCCATTAATTTGTTGCTAAGAACTCAGGTAGTCACCCATCTGAGAACTAGTGATGCCGGCCAATGCTTGATCTCAGAACACTTAAGTGACTGAAGCCAACCATCGTGCCATACCAGACCATTTGTAATTTATGGTTCAGTTTAGAAAATTCCAATAATTTAAATGTAATATATATACTATTGTTTACAAATTATAATTATTTTCTTTTCTTATTTTTTTTTAATTAGAAATAATATATTTTCTGAAGTTCGAAGTAAAATTCAAAGGTTGTATCCGGTTACTTTTGAAAATCTTACCTATGGAAGTTACAGACTAAAATTTCATACTCTTTTATTTATGGAAGAAATTGAAGTAATTATACTTACCAATTTGTTATTAACATTCAAGTATGTAATTAATAATTGATGATACTATAATTATATGTAGTTCCATAATTTAAAATATAAAATCAATCTTTTAAAGTAATGTATTGTAAATATTAAAGTTTAAATTATCTTAATATGTGCTCTAAAATTGATTAATTACTGTTGTAATTTGCATTAATATTTAAATATTATTTTCAATTAGTCCAAAAAATAAAAACAAATATTGGTAAATACTTTTAAAATTAAAAAAAATAAATAAATAAATGATTTATCAATTTAAAACAATAATTTAAGTAACATCATATTAGCAATTATTTAATGACTTAATGTGTATTAACTGCTGCATATAAACGTGGTAATGTATACTTTATTTTTTTTCATCAATTTTAGATTACAGCATCTCTTCAAAAATATGCACAAAAAAGAATACATTTTGAGAAAATGGGTAAATATTTAGTTCTACAAATACCTAATCTTTCTGAACAACGACCTTCATTAATTATTGGTGATAGAATAACGGTTACTGATCCACCAAACTGTACTAAAAAATTGGGTAAATATTTTTCTATACAAATATTAATATGTATTCTATTAGTTTAATAGTAACAATTATTAATATAATATTATGAACCTTATGTATTCTAGTACTAAGTAGTTTAACTACTCTAATTAATAATTTTTATTATTATACTATTTATGAAGTTTTGATTCAGTGTGAGTGATTGTATTTTATTAAAAAATGTATATTTTATAGACATTAAAGTGAATAATTTGTAATTAGGTCAAAACTATGAAGGCGTAATCCATAAGGTTTTAGCAAATGAAATATGGCTGAAGTTTAATTCAGAATTTCATAATATATGTGGCCATTTCGATTATAGTGTGAATTTTTTCAATGCCAGAATGATCTATCGAAAACAACATGAAGTAATCAATGAAATGTGGAAAAAGAACAGATTAGGCGAATCATTCTTGTTTCCATTTAAGAATTCTTTGGAATACCAGCCTTCAAAATTGAAGATCCTAAGCGATGATGAGATAAAAACAGATAACACCTATAAGGATAATTTAAAAAAAGATAGCAATACTCTGTTACCAAAACCAAATATTGTGCAAAAAATCAGATGGTTTAATAATGAATTAAACTTCAAACAAAAAAGTGCTGTCATTAACATTCTGAAAGGTGAAGGGAGACCAATGCCTTACATTATTTTTGGACCCCCTGGCACCGGTAAAACAATAACTATAACAGAAAGCATCATTCAAGTCTATAAAGAATTCTCTAAAAGCAAGTTAGTATTTTAAATTTTTTATTTAACTTTTTGCAAACAACTATATTTAGGTAAATACTGCTAGACAGTGACCCAACCATGGTAAAGTTATATTTAAACTCCGAAGAGCTATATTTGATTATTTATATCAAATAAAAATTGTATTTACTATTCAGTATTAATGTAAATTTTAATAATATTTAAATACAAAATAAAAATGTATTTATGGGCTATCAGGAAATTTTTAATTTCACTACTGCCACTTATCTTTTATAACCCAACTGTCTTTTGAAATACTGATCAGTAAAATTTTCATGTTTCTCTTGTTTAACTGTTTTTAGATTGTTAATTTGTGCTCCAACTAATTCTGCTGTTGACCTTTTACTATCTAAACTTGTAAATTCTGGATTATTTGATAACACTATCATGAAGCGTTTAGTTGGCTATAATTATTTTAATAGTTCATCTTATAACAAGAATTATGATGAATATTGTGGTTTACCTGAACTTGAAAGTACATATTATGGTGGCGAAGAAACAGGTAACAGAAAATAATAGCATATTTGATAATATATTACAATAATTTTATTAGTGTTAACTTTTATTTTTTAAATCAAGAGTATCACATTAATCACTCTAGAGATGAAATATATCTAGATTAATTACTATAATTGAAGCGACTATTTTAGAAACCCTTTAAGTGCAAATTTTAAAATTCCCAGTTTGCTACAGAAAGCCATCAAATGCCATTTATTAACGGGTTTCTGAACTAAACACATTATTTGATCAAAAATTAAACAGCTATAGAGTTTCGATACTTGACAGATTTTTGCACTAAACGAAGTGTTTTATTTCATAAAACAATAATCTGAACCTAACACATTTTTCATAATTTTGGCATATGACGAGTTTCTGAAATAATCGCTTCAATTTAAAAGCATACATTTTTTAGATTCCAGGTTAATTAAAAAACAGGAAATTCTCAAGTTACGATTAGTTCTTACCACTGAAGGCACGGCAGGATTATTGTATATGATGGGCTTAAAGGCTGGAACCTTCACTCATATATTTATAGATGAAGCTGGACAATCAACAGAACCAGAAATTTTATTACCACTGTGTAAGTGTCTAGTAATTTAGATTTATTTAAAAAATATTTTTAATGTTGAATCTGGTTTTATAGCATTTTTGGATCCTTACCGAGATGGACAAGTTGTATTGGCTGGAGATCCCAAACAATTAGGACCTGTTGTTTTGTCAAATTTAGCAAGCCAAAGTGGTCTGGGACTATCAATGTTGTCTCGTTTTATTAATTACCCATCCTACTTGAGAGATACTAATAATTTTCCAGAACACAATGGTTATAACCCAAAACTTATTACATGCTTAATTCAAAATTATCGGGCTTTGCCAGAAATTTTACTAAATTACAATACATTTTTTTATGAATCATTGTTAGTGCCAACTGTGAGTAGTAATACAAACTTATAAGATACAATAACAATCATATAATGTTCTTTAAATACTGTTCATTATAGATATTGAGTGATAACTCACAGGAAAGAATACTATTAAACAATTTGAATAAAAATGCTCACTGGGATATAGATTGTAAAGGACCAGTTATTGTACATGGTATAGTTGGTGTGGACAGCCAAGAACCCAGTAGTCCTTCATGGTATAATCCCCATGAAGCTTTTCAAATCTTATTGTACTTTACAAGGTTGTTGAAGTCTGGAATATCTGCTGATGACATTGGAATTATCACTCCATACATTGCTCAAGTAAATAACAACAATGTTAAATTTCATAGAAACTTTATATTTTATTTTATTATTTTATGTGATTTAGGTTTACAAAATTAATGAGTTACTAAAAATGTACCATCCAGATATAAAATTACCGAGAATAGGCACAATAGAAATGTTTCAAGGTCAAGAGAAAATGGTTATTATAATATCAATGGTTAGAAGCAAATCCAGAGCCGGATGCGAAAAGGATAAGATATTTAAAATGGGTTTTCTTTGTGTTAAAGAACGCACCAATGTTGCATTATCTAGGGCAAAAGCATTACTCATAATAATTGGAAATCCATCAACAATGGAATTGAATTGTTATTGGAAGGTTATATTATCAACAGCAATCGAAAATAAAAACTATATTGGGTGTAATATTCTTGAATATTAGAAATAATCTGAGTACTATATTACAGTTAGTATTATATATTTAATATATTAAACTATAACTACTGACTGTAATGAATAACATGTTAATATTCCTAAAATTAATCCTAAGCATTTTCAGTTAATTTAAAAATCAATATTTTTACTTATAATCAACTTTTTTGGCGTTTGTACACCATCTACGGGTATAGTGTTTAACTCTGTTTGCATACACAAAAATTCGGTGCATATGATTGCTGCACACAAAGCATTTAATAACCACCAAAATGTAGTGGGCAGTATACTGTTATATCACATACAAGCTACTAAATTTATGATGTGTATTGTACAAGAAAAACCTAAATACAATATATATCGTTTGACAATGCACCAAATGAATGTAACCTTAAACATTAATAACTTACCTATATAGATATGATTGTATAAATTATTATTTTGGTGTGTGATTATCAATATTGTTTCAAAATGATAGTATGTATTATTAATTATAATTCAAATTATAAAATTTACTTTGTTCTCCTATCAAAATAACTAAGATTCGCCCTTCTGTATGGTGTACGTAATTGCTTTATTGACTATTGTGTTTAGACAAAACTTTCCTAAACAAAACAAAATTCCCTAATGCAATTTCAACTCTTAAAAATGAAAATATATATGCATATACTTTATGTATTATAATATATATGTTTAATAAATTGTACGTTATAATTTTAATATTTCTTATTATGTATAATAATTGATTACTTTACCATGTTAAAGTTGGAATACAAAAATATAAAATGAGATTATAATTTATGTCCAATTTTATTTCTATCGATTATTTAGACTATTCCTAGTAATAACTAATAACTAATACTATTCCAAGTCATCATGTAAATTAAAAATTTCACAAATCCGAATTTTTCAATTTTCCAATTTTTCTTTCCTTAAAATTTTTATTTGGATCTACTATAAACATACAAACAAAAATTAAGCTTAATCGATCCATTCGTTTTCAAATTATGTGGTCACCAACAAATAACATTAATTTCATTTTTATACATCCACATAGAAGTATAAAATTAACTGCTGGCCTCTAATACCTCAGATTTAGTTTCTCCTTTTAGATATGCGCATGCATAGGTTTCCCTAACAGAAAGATTTACAAACTTGCCAATGGTCATATTTTATTATGTAAAATAGATGTTAGATAACGTGAATCTGGTAGACTTAAACCTAAATTATTTTTATGAAAGCACATCCTGCTTATTAAGATTTTAAGCAAATGATTAATTTTGAAAATATTAGTATTAATAATTGTAAATTATAGAAAGAATATATTCTCTTAACTTTACGAGTTTTCAATTTTTTCTTTTATAAATATGGTCACTCTATTATCTACATTTAAATGTACCTATTGTAAACATGTTTGCCAGCTACTATACTCCCTCCTCCCAGACATTTCTTTCACACCCTCGCCACCCTGGCAAATACAATTTTCAACAAAATGTACCTATTTATTAAATACTATAACAATACTTGTTACGATTACCGCACTTAATAGTGTACAATAAAATGTAATTTATTTGTATCAATGTTTTTATACTGTATTGCCAGTATAAATACTATTTACTGACTTTCCCAAAATTATAGCAGTTTTAAGATAACAAAAAATAATAATCACAAATTAGAATTTATGACAACGGTTGGATTACGATATAATCTAAAACTACATACGTACGGTACACACCTACCTACTTTTGTTGCGCTCTGTGAGACTCAAGTAATAAGTTTTATAATTTCTGTCTAGTTGTTTGTATCTGCATATTGTTTCGTAACAAAAATGTCTAAAAGAAGCATAACAGATTTTTTTTTCACAAAATAAAAAGACTAAAACTTCAGAGCCTCAATATTCTTATAACACGGATTTAGATAAATTGCCTACACCTAACTGTACAAAAAAAAGATAAAGAGAAAATATTTTATAATGGAAAATGGGAAAATGATATTCCATAGCTTTATTTTGATGTTCAACGTAATGATGCTTTTTGCAAATTATATGAAAAACACATTATAACAATTAAAATAATTGTAATAAATAATTTTTTTCTAATTTGTTTTTTAGTTGTATTTAAACTTGAAATGTCTAAACTATTAATTGTATATTTTAAGTATTAATAATAGGAATTATAACACTAAAATATATCACCTCTCACCAATGAAAAAAAAAGTGAGCCCGCGAGAAATTTTCTGGATTTAACATTATAAATAGGTTTACTATGTAGTTTCATCAACCATATTTTAATTTTTCTTATAATTGGGCACTTTCTTCATACATAAACTAACCTAACCCTTTTATATATATATAAATAATTGTAAAATGTATAAGTGTTCAACACCAATGCATACATTTATTTTATGTCTTTAATAAACTTTAATAGTTTTTGTAATTATGATACTTGCAAAAATGTAATGTAGAACAATACCAACCAATTTCATAATCTATTCAAATATCGTAAAAAAAAATAATCAAATTAGAAGTTACGGAATTCTGATAAAAAAATTTAATTTCTAAAAAAATACATTTCTCAAATGTACAATAAAATACCAAACCTGTTTCAAAGAATAATCTAAAAAATTTAAACTTAATCTAAGAAAATATTAACTAATTGTATGTGAAATTTATTTGTATTGATGTGAGACAATCGATAAATTTAAAAAAAAAATGTAAGCTCTATAAATAATCAAAATAGAGAATTAATTAATTCAGAATCACTATTAAATATTAAGTGAAATTTTTGAAATAAATGTGTATCAAAAAGTGTATTTTAAATTTATTTACAAACTATAAAAATTCTTAGAAACACAGGGAAATAATTAATACTTTATTTGTTAAGTATTAAACTTTTTACAACCAATAAGAACAATACTTCAAATTCAAATTGATACTCCAAAAACCCAACAAGTAAAATTCAAGATTTACCTTAATGAAAAATAATATGGTATTGCCACAAACAAAATTATAAAAATTAACAAATAAATTTCTAAGAGAAAGAAAAGTATCAGTTAATATTAATCACTACTGGTTCAATTAAAAACATTAAACTTCAATCCAAGAATAGATCTCTAAGAAGGTCTTTTAATACAAACTACCAACTATGCAAAGGGGGGAATAAAAGAATAAGATAAAGAATTATTTGCATTTTTAAATGATTTAAGTATAAAATTATATATATATATATTTTTTTTTATGTTGGGGATTGTCTTATACACTAACAAACTTAACAAATATTTATAAACAGCAGCTAATTTAAATTTGTATGCAAGTACATTTTAAGTTTCAATGACGCAAATAAACTTAAACAACAATTTTTAATTTTTTCATTATTAAATTATATGAATTTCTAGACCATAATATGTCAACTAAAAATGCTTAATAAATATGTTAAAATATTTATAAATAAATAATATTGAATACCAACAAAAAGTATTGATACTTGATAGACAATTTAATTCAAAGACATTTAACATTAAGAACTGGCATGGCTTTTATCAGATTAATATATATTATGTACAGTGGTCACTGCTTAATGGACTCACTTTGGGACCTGACCATTTGAGTCCATTAACCGAATGAATTAATATGGCAAATAACCCAAAAAAGTTTATAAAATACTTAAAATTAAAAACTTATTTATTTAAAAAATATTTATTGAGATTTAAGAGGACGTCACACCCGTATGTATTATCTCTGTCTTACATACATACAACATAGCAAATTTTCATTCAGCAGAATTCATTTTATGTTGTTAGCTTTAACATTAGAGTAAATTTACCTATTATCAAACTTAAATGTAAGAATTTTATCTAGGCAATGACAGGCTTTTATTAATATTATAATTTTAAAGTGAGTTATGAGCATTTTAAAGTTCCCATATCTTATATGGCTATAATTCAGCTTAAAATTAAAATATCAATAAAATCCTATGTCATGGCCTAGATAAAATTCTTACATTTAAGTTTGATAATAGGTAAATTTACTCTAATGTTAAAGCTAACAACATAAAATGGATTCTGCTGAACGAAAATTTGCTATGTTGTAAGACAGAGACAACACATGCGAGTGCAGCGTCCTCTTAAGGTATGAATAAAAATAAAAATCTAGCTACGCCATTAAAAATAAAATAAAATGATAAGTAGGTATGTTAAATCTAATCAAATTTTTGATAAAAGTCCATCTAGAGTTGATTGGATCTTCCTTTCTTCGGCCAACTTAATAATCATTAATAATATATTCGTAACATTTATATTGCTCGAATTGGTACGTCAAAATTGCCTCTTCACTGAATCTCTCTACGTAAAATAGCGTAGTATAATTATCAAATGACTTTATTAACCAGTGTGTGAATCGAATAGACAAATTTTTTGATGTGTGTTGGTATATATGTAAATCAGGACCAGCCATTTTGAGTCCAATAGGTAAATGAGTCAATTAATCGTGAGTCTAATAAGTAGCAACCACTGTATTTTAAATATAATCCTGATTAATGCATATTTCTCTTATATTTTTGTATGAATGTAATTTCTTAAACTTAAATTAATTTTTTTGGTATTATTATAAATTTTAAATATGATACTTAGACTAGTTACTTTAAATAAAAAGTAATTTAGAATAAAAATAATAATATTGTGCAAAACATACTATTTTCATATTATTTTTTTTTTTTTCAAAAAGTAACACTTCTAGTAGATTAGTGCATGTTTTACAACACAAAATATTGAACTTGAATTAAGCTAAATAATTTTAAACTAAATTTAACTTCTTATTTTAAGTAATTAATACATTAATTGGGCTGTAACTAAAAAAAAAAATACTACGAGTATCAATTAAAAATTACTTAACTAATTCTGTATTTAAAAATCTATCCTGAACGTGAAACCGTGAAGCATTTATAAATCATAAGTTATTACTTAAACCATTTAATAAATTTAATTATTTTATACTTATATATATAATATTTAGACAGATTACCTCTTATAATAATTTATACTATGGTAATAAATTAGTTTGGTGATTGAATAATAGAATATGGTAAAATCATTATACTTAATTCAATAAATTAAAAATAATTTTTTTTTATTATTAAAAATAACATTAATACTTGCCAATAATTGACAAGTATAAATCAAAATTAAAATTGAATTAGTTATGAACTACTTTTTTTTTTGATAGTTTTTGAAATGCAGGTAGAGTTGCTAATGGAATTTTTAGTGTATACTTGGTTGGATCATCTTTCATTAGTGATGCTCCTACTACCTTCATCAGCAATGTCAATCTGAAATAATATAGATAAAAACTTTGATTAATAAAAAAAATCATGTATACAAAAATATTATCTTGATTGGCGTGTTATTAAACTGAAAGCATTAAAAATAAAATGTTATCTTATTTTACACATTAAACATAACATGGCCCAACCAGCGCTTAGTGACTCATAAATGTGAAAATGTGTATTGTTGATTTTTTCCTATACATATTTTTAAATATTTACCATTACTTACATAAAAAAAAAAAAACATTTTCAATCAAATAAATACATTTTTAACTAATTATATTACATATTATATTATTAAACATATCTAAGGGCATATTTTAATATTTATTTTTATTTTAAGAGCATAAAGTATCAATTCCTAGTTAAAACTCATTAATATAATTATAATAAAATGTTAAATTACCTCTTTTGGCTACTTGATGGAAGAAATGATGATATCCAACTTAAGTCGAATACATACATGTTGATTAACATCATAATTATAATTATATGACACACAGCTTTATCCTTCATTTTAGATGTTAAATCTCTAAATAATTTTAAAAAATATAAATTTAAATTAAATATTTTTTTTATTTAGTTATATAATTTTTACCGGCCAGTAACACTATATTCAACAAAATTATCCAACACCTTATCATTTATTACTTCTGAATTTGGGTAAATTTCAATATTTCTAAAATTCAAATCAGCTGATTTTGTTCTTAACAATGCAATCAATCCATCAGCAAAAGTAAGGAGACAAATATTTTGAATAGTTTTATGAGATAATCTATTCAAATTTGTTATGAAAAATGTTGATAAACTGCAAACAAAATATATTATTTAAAATAATGTACTTAAGCCAAAACATGCACTTAAATTAATATTGATAAACAAAAGACTAAAATATTTATTAAAATGTACCTAATTAATTTTATATGTAAATATTTACTTTTTTATTAATAAAACTAATTAACCTCTCTTTTTAACACTAAAACTGAAATATTATCAAAAATTTTCAAACTTTCTTAAACTATGCTACATACACCACTAATACAAATACATAGCATTAAATTATTGATATAACATTTTGATTATGTTTTTACTCATTTATGATATGCAACTAATTCATAATTCAATTAATGTAGCTTATAAATTAAAACAGTAAACCTCTGATATATAATATAGATCTTGGCTTAACTTTAAGTAAAAAAATGTTAAACAATTAAAAATATACACCATAAATTAAATATTAAAACGAAAAAATGTTTAAATTTATATTTTAAAACAATTATTAGGGCTTGGATGTTTATGCACTTAAAACTACTGTAATATGCATTTTTAACCAATAAAAATACCAAAATATGCACAAAAAATTTTATTTTTTATTTTAATGCAGTTTAAATACATTTTTTAAGTTTACATAGAGTTTTATTTAAATTATTATTTATTAATTAGGGATTACCATAATTAGCGTTTTACTGTGCTACTATAGTTATTTAATTTGTTCAAATTTCTAACTGCGTCTATTATCATTAAGTTAATTTTAATAATGTGAAAAACTTCGCTCTACATCAAATAATATTATCTTACACCTTGTCCAATAAAGTACTGTAATTCCAAACAAACACGATAAGTCGATAATAAACATTTATATTTTACGTTAATACTTGGTAGATTGTAGACTGTAGTTACCATTTATAAAATTTATACATAGAAATTGTGAAATTAATTGTATAGTTTGTTAATTAAATTTTTTTTTTTAAAAAAATGTACTGAAATATGCTTTTTTAATTTTTAAAATCCCAAAATATGCAATTAAAATATGAAACCATAAAATATGCAAAAATATGCAAAATAAAAAATAGTATCATTTGATTCAGTATAACATGCATGAATTAAATTTGTATCCATGTTAGCATTAAATTGAATAAATAGAAAAAATATGCAATTTCATAAACATCCGAGCCCTAATAATTATAATAACCTTTTATTCAACTACTAAGTTAAATAAAATTATTTGAATAAATTTTCTTTGATTTATATAATAACTTACTCCTCGTTGTCACTATTAATTGGTAACATACTTATTACTTCTTTTGCATAATCAGTCATTAAATCTATTTCATTTTCAAGTAATAATGTAGAAACTGGATAAACTGTTTCTAATTTATTAGAAAAACGATTACATCCCAAAGGTAAATATACTAAAAATTCACATTTTTGAGAAAATGATGACTGCAATACATCAGCTATAAAAATAAATAAATAATATAATGATATACTTAATAGGCATTTATACAGAAAACTGTACTTACAAGAAAAAGAAATATTGTCGAAGACATCAGTTGGAACATCAACAGTATTATTAACTCTAGACTTTGAAATACGTGATGACTTTTTAGTTCCAAATACTAAGTTAAATTCTTGATTTTTATCTGTCAATGTTTGGTCTTCAAACGTTTTCATCTTAAAGTAATCTGGCTTTTTAAGATAAGTTACTTTGGTACCATAAACTGAAACCTACATAAATGCAACTCATATATTTTAAATGTTTACATTTAATTAAATATTAGATTAAACTTTCAAAGTAAAACATCTACGTTTAAATAATAAAGAATTTTATTAACTAGTAACTTAGATATATATACTAAGTCTACCTTATTTGTTTTTTTATTTCTCAAAATTAAGTATTTTTTTCCATTTTCTTTTCTACTAGGATCTTCTTCTTCAACTGTACCACCATGTTGATTGAATATTTTTAATACGGGTCTATTAGATGTATTCTCAATTGCCATACCACAATCTAAAAGTGTTGATGAATTCAAATGCCCCACTTCTGTAATTGCTGAAAATTAAATACAAATCTGTTAACATATACCTAACTAAACAATTCATTTAGTTTAAACGTATAAAGGGAATCTGTACGCTAGAATAATATACAATCTACATCAGTGGTCGACAACCAGCGGTCCGGGCATCTATTTTATGTGGCCCACTTGGCGAAATTTAATTTCATATTATATAACTACATATATAACAAAATTTCAAATATATTCAATAAAAATAATTTAACTGCATATTTTATTTAATCAGTCATGATTAAATATAACAATATGTGTGTAGTATAGTATATGCTATTTTTCATTGATATATTGAAGTATATGAATGAACTTAACATAAAACTATAAGGTAAAAATCAATTTATTACTGATATGTGGTCTCATATTAAATCGTTTGAAACTAAGTTAAAGCTTTTAAGGTCTCATACTGAAATAAATGAACTAACACATTTTCCTGCATGTTTAAGTCCTGTTTGTATCGTCAAAATTTTCATTATCGATAGTTAAGTTTGTTAAAGGTATTTTGACACTTCAATATGTATTTAATAATCATTTTCAAGATTTTAAACAATGTTCACAATATTTAACATTACTTTCAAATACATTTAATACAGATATTAATGAAGTTCCGGTTGATCTTCAAATGGAAATGATAGATTTACAATCACAAGATACTTAAACATGTTTGGATCAACGTACCTATATGAACAGGCCTTTTCTCACATGAAAAAAATTAAAAACCCACTCCAGTCATAATTAACTGATGACCACCTTCATAATTTAATAGAGCTGACACAAGTAATTTTGAAGTAGAAATTAGAAAAAAAAATTGTGAGAAAAATCCAACTGCAAAAATTGTATTAAATATGTTTTTATATAGTTATAATTTCTACACTATATTATAGAAAATCATTTTATTTTATTCGACATTAAAATTTTATTCTTAAAAATAACAAATTAAATAAATATCGCAGTATTTTTTTCTTCGTAATAAATAAATAATATAAGTATGACATTTTTATTTTTGTGAGGCCTGCAAAACTTTTTACATTTGTGAATGAAGCCCCAGACTCCAAAAAGATTACCGATCACTGATCTAGATCTATTCGACCAAACTGGCGTAAAAAAAAAAACGCACCATATCATTGATATGGTTCATTATTCTGGTATTGGCTTAGCCCAACGAATTACTAGTTTACTAGTATAAATGAGTATATTAAAATCAATTAGAGTCATAATTTTACAGGAAATTTATTGAATGATGCGGAAATCCATAGATCCATATTTTGAAATGAGACTCACCTATTACTGGTGGTATGCTGGGTTCAGCGTAAACGTGCTCTACGACGGCGTCCATGGCACAGTCTCCACACGCCGATGAAATATACAAAAAGAAAGAATTGCAGACCACGCGTTTTAAACGCGTATGCTTATATCATTGTTTTCACCAAAGCAAAACATTAAACAGCCACTCAATCAAGTTCGTTCACTGTATCATGAGCAGATAGCACTTAAGTAAATCGCCCGGCCAAAACATTTCACCTTATCACTATTTACGAACTCGTATCGGATCTAGGACAATTGATCCCCGTGAAAAAACGCCGTATCGAAACAACCGGTCTCCGTAATAATTTCATACACAGGTCACAGACAACAAGTTCTCAGCCAAAATAACCCGAAAAAAAATTTCCAGATAAGTACTGTTAAACTTACAAAATACATGATTTTTGAAAATGTTCATAGACTTATTATATTTTTGAAACAAGTAAATCTCTACAGCGGATGATTTTAAAACACTCCAATACTATTATTACAAATGTGCATGGATCGAATACACAGCGGAACTATTCGGCATTTCAGCTTGTAATAAAAAATAAAAATTACCTGACTAATAGGTGAAATGATCAGAGAAATCGGTCAGTAATAAAAGATAATATACTTATCAAGGGAAATATTTCGTCACAGTATGCTAAAAATATATAGGTATTAGGTACCTATAGAATATAGACTATATACAGTAAATACGATTTATAATTAGAGTTAGGATGTTGAATGAATTAAAAAACACTCAATAAATGCTCCAAAAAATTAATTTAAAATGATCAAAAAAATCTACTTTAATAAGATTTAATTTAAAAGTAACAATTTTTACTAGAGATATGGGTGTAATCATGGGTATCAGAATACTTTAAAACATGAATTGTAATCTTAATAGAAAACAGTATACATTTAAATTTTAAGTATTAGGTATATAAAATTAAAAAGCAAATAGAATTAAAAAAGAAATGTTATTAAAAATATTCTAATTGATTTCCATAATGCACTGATGCACTGTACAATCAAAATGTGTCTGACGTTTTCAAATAAAAGATAACGACGTCGATCAGTTAATAAATGTTTGTATGATGAACAATTTCGCTCGGCGTCAACGACGTTATGGATGCATATTTGAAGACTGAAGTAGATCATGTCATCAGTATTTAGACCTTCGATTTAGTTTTTACATGTTTAAAATCGTTAAAATTAAAAATTAAAAAAATACCTGTAAAATAGTGAACGTGAAATACAAATGCCAAATTACTATTCACTACTGAACACTGACAATAATTATAGTTCCTTTTATTGCAATTAATACGTCCATGGGCCATGTAAATTTAATCTCGTTTATTGGATTTATTCTATACAATTTATAAATATAATATTATTCGATAGGCGTATATGATTGGCGTATGTGTAAAAATACACTTGTTTTACTTGTTTTACAAACGTATAACACGCATACCTACGATAAATCTCACCGGAACGCGATAAATTTAATCACAAGTCACAACTTAAAGGTAAAACCCCACATTCTACAATAATAATAAGATAATTTTTAATGTTGTACAAATTTTTTTTAAATCTAAAATTTAAAAAATATGCCCCCACATTATACAATAACTACGAAAAATGACTTAAAATACGAATAAACGACGTTAAAAACAAAACAATGCATTTATAATATCATTAAATGCCAAAAAATGAAAAAAATAAATTATTATATTCTGAAACATTCTAAAACAGAGAAGCATGAAACAAATTTTTTTATCTTCAAAAATATGACATACTATGCACTTTGTTTGTTAGTGATCCTCCGTGAAGATTTAAATTAATGAAAAATACTATTGTTCCTGAAAAATAACTAAGATGGGGACCAATTGTCCATGTATAAAATTATGAGGGGAACAGATTGTCCGTATACGACGTTTTTTCGTGCGGATCAATTGTCCATTAACTTAATCGTCCGGGAACAAAAAATAAGATTTTTAATAAATTGTCGAAAAAAATACACAAACTGACAAACTGCATTTAGTATTTACCACTGGACAGTGGAGTGTGGACACTGGCCAGTAGCCAATGGGTGTGAATAACTGAATTTTATAAGCCATTTTATTGTTCGTGAATGATACAAGTGTTTATAATGTAACGTAAATGATTTAAATTTTTAATTTAGATATCGTAATTATATCTCTAATACTTCTAACTTTTCTAATTTTTGTTTTAATTGTTCGTTAATACTTAACACGAATATAGATATAGCCATCGTAGTTACTCCTGTAGTCTCTCTTAATTAATACTTTTTAAATTGAAATTATTTTTTACAATTGTGATATGTGAGTATAATTTTGAAAATATTATTGGCCATTAGATATGCATTATCTGAGTTAAAATTCATCTCGATGCTAAATAAATAAAAATCTACTATATTTTATCAAAGTACCTAGGTTGACAACGTAAGTGTTTTTGTTTTTAATATTTCTGAATTTTTCAGTTTATTAAATAACACAAAAATGTCAATTTATATGCTTTATTATGAAATGTTTATGTGCATTTATTTTGATTTTTATATTATAAATTAAAATAATTCATTAGCAGCTTATAAATCATAGAGTTTAATATTGTTTATCTTTGCTATAATATATATTTTTGTTTTTAATTATTCCTACAAACTACCATAAAAATTTTTTTTAATACTTTAGGAATAATATGAATATGAAAAAATAAATAAACTTTTTATTACTTGTAGGTCTGTCAAATAATTGTTTTTATTACTATATTAATTGTACAAAGTCAATACTACTAATTTATTTTATATATATATAATTTTTATCCATACATTTTAAACTAAACAATACTTGAACTTAAAATTTAATCAATACTTAGTTATCTTTTATCAATATTATAGTTGTATATAGTTAGCAAAGGAAGGAGTTATTTTTACAAAAATTATTCTGCATATCGGTTAAATATTCTGCAGACACTCATATTTCTAAACTTACCTATATATTTTTGTCTTATAGGTACTGATACATACATCAAATATGTTTGAATTTATAAAAATACCATTCAAAGATAGTAAAGTATCAATTGCTCGTCCATTTCTTTGCGATAGAGTAAAAGAATTTGGTATTTGTGAAGGAACATGTGCAGAGCGTCATGTTTTATGCAAAACAATTGATAAAAAATGGCTCAATATTCCTATGAAATGTTTAATTAACATACAGCTGACAACAATTCTAAGTGCTTCACATTTTTATGGCAGAATTCTTAAATATAGTACCAAAAAAAATCCTTTAAAAGATGAAGATTGGATAAGTATTGATGACTCGTTTGAAAGAATAAAACATGAATTAAGAAACATCTGTTCAACTCAAAATTCTATCATTTTATGTAAAACATATTCTATTGGTGAAATGGTTATGATACAAACTGAACAAGAAGAATTTTATCGAGCAGTTGTTTTGGATATAGTACATGGATGGCTTAGTGTTACTGTAAAAGTAATATTAATTGACATAGGACAAACAAAAGAAATAAGCTCAAATAAAATATTTGTATTGCCAAACCATTTAAAAGAATTTCAGCCTGTAGCTGTTGAAATCATCATATCTTCAATGGAACCTGTGGTAGAAGGAGCGTCTGTTTCCAATTGGCCAGTTGATACAACAAAACTTGTACGTAGTTTATTAGAACCCTTTATTTTGACAAAATTAGAATTTATTTGCAAAGTTGAACTTACATTAGGAATAACTTTATGGGTTGATTGGATATTAGCTAAGAAATGTATTAAATGTTCTCACTTTACGTGTAAACTGTATAAAAATTCTTTCAAATTACCAAATGAATTAATTAATCGCAATCTTGCAAAACAAAATACTTGTTTAATTGATAAATTACTCAACTTAGATAAAGATAGCCTTATATGGAAGAAACACTTAAATGAACCAAAACCATTAATCATTAAAAAATCAAATATACCATTATTTTCATGTGATGAAAAAAGAAATAAAATTGACGAACCAATAAAAGTGCAATGGGCTCATTTGTCTGAGGATATAATATCAAATGTAATTGTTCATTATATACATAGTCCAAAATGTTTTTTAGTAAGTAATTTGCAATATTCTGAAAGAGTTGTTGCTCTTCAAAGAGACATTGATGATATTATTAGTAATGCATCTGTTGAAAAATTAACTTGTGCTACTGTTGGAAGTGTATGTTTAGCATTTATATCTGAAGAAAATAAGTATAATCGTGGTATTATTAAAAATATTGACAATCAAATAGCTAATATTCTGTGTGTAGATTATGGTGAATTTCACAAAGTTGAAATTCATAATTTATTGATTATACCCTCAAATTTGATATCGAAGTTACCATTTCAAGTAATTGAATGTAGTTTAAGTGGTTTTAATGATAGTTCATCAATAGATATGATAAATCAGTTTAATAACCGATTATTGGAACTTACAGACACTAAGATAGTTTTAAAAGTTCTTTCTTCTACTATGGATGCAAAGTTGATTGGAGGAACTCATTATGAAGTTGTATTATTTAAGAATGATATAAACATAAATGTCACATTGGCTGATGAATTTATTATGTATGTTGATAATACTCAAATAAAAAATATTACAAGCATAAATTATAATTACAAGGAATATGATAGTGAGGATGATGATATAGTTGATGAAGAAGAATTAAAAATTCAGATGGATCTATTAAACAGTCTATTAAAAATTCCAAACAAAACAAATGAAACCCAAATTGTGCTAAATTCAACCAATGAAAAAAAAAATGAGTCTGCTTCAAAAACATTATATAAAGATAATATAATAGCAAACATAAAACAAAAAAAGGACATACAAATTGAGAAAAAATATTGTCTAGATTGCAATAAGACTCCAATAGTTCCTCAATGTATTTGGCATCAAGATAACACATGGATTTATCTGAAATTGAATATTTTATCAGTAAACGATTATAATATTTCTTATTCAATAGATACCATAATAATAAACGTTGAAACAAATTCTGCATCCTATTCCTTTACAGCAAATTTGTTTGGATTTATAATAGATGAACTATGTACTTGTCATGTATGTTTTGATGGGATTTTCATCAAAGCACAAAAACTTTTAAAAGTTAAATATCAATGGCCTAGACTTTTAAAATGTACAAAAAAACATAAATATATTATTTATGACACAGAATTCTGCATTACTGAACATAGAAACTGGAATGTGTGGTGTAAAATATTCAATAATTTAAAAATAAAAGCTCTTGGTGAGAAGTTAAACGAAGAAAAATATCTCGATTCTGATTATGAAGATAGCGATTGTACCAATGATGGTGATGATGCCATTTTTGAAGACTGATTAAAAAAAATTTTCGATTTTAGTATTTAAATATAAAAAATCTTATTGCTTGTATATGTAAAAAATTTAAACTATTATCATTGTATCGTTTTATGTTATTCATGTTTTTAACAATTGTATAATTTGATTTTTTGGAATAATAAATTAATAAGTAATTTTTCTCCTTCACTCAACAGTTATTTGCATGCCTCAGATTTTCCATCCTTGGTTATAATATTATACTTTATAGGTACCTGCATAATATTAAACTTTATAATTTTTTAATCTTATACATATTTTTAAATTTTATTTATACATTTTAGGTTTTCATAAAGAAATATGGTACATTTTAATTTTTTTGCTTTCAATATGAATTAATTTCTTTTATTAAACATATGTGCTTTAGTATTAAAATTATAATTTTTAATGTCAGAAAAAATACATGATAATATGAATTGTTTTAAATATTCTTAAAAAATAATTGTAAGTCAAGCTTTATTAATATACCTTTTTACTTAAATTGATCTTATTAACTGATAATTAATAAATACAAAATGTATAGTCCATTTTTCCCTAAACATTTCAATAAAAATATATTTTAATTGTTGGATATTAGTATTCTTTTATTTAGTGTAATGTAGGTAGTTTAATGTGATACAATTTTACTATTAATTGTAATACATTACAGGATTTAGTGTTTGTTAAATGTAAACATTTATTTTTTGTCAAAATGATGAAACAAAAGTTAAATTACGGGTATAATCTTTGTAATAACCATTATTATCAAGAGTATTAGATTTCAGTAAGATTGCAGATATTTATGCGCATTTTAAAACCTAGTAAATTTAAATATTAGTGTTTTTATGTTCAATTATTTTGTAAAGTACATATAAAAAATTGATGAAAAGAAAATAATCACAATGTGTTTAAGTAGATACAAAGGTGTCATTTCAATTTTCAATAAATTAAATGATATCAAGTTATAAGTATCAATTATAAAATTGTTATACATAACAAGTTGACTCGACTACGGCTGCTGCAGATAGACTGAACTACTGTACTTATGTGTGTATACATCGATAACTTATCGAATATCGACTATCGTAGTCATTATCTTAATTACGTCGTATTAAATCGATATATATATATATATATATATATAATTTTATTATTAGATATATAAGTCCTATACTTCATATAACAACACAATAGGTATAGTAGCGAAAAAGTAAATAGATGGTAATATAATATAATATAGATTATATAGCAAAAATATTTGTACAAAAGGACCATTCAGGGCATCTTTATAAAAAAAAAAAACCAAAAACGTGCAACTTTGTAAACATAAATTTTTCTTTAAGCTAATCTACATCTCTTGATTTGGATTTGTAGTTTGTTTTTATAGAATTTAGGATATCCATAAAAAGATGTAATTGCACGGGAACGTCGGGAACCCGGTCTTTACTAATAACTAGTAATAAGAATAACTATTAACTAATAAATAATAACGGTAGTAATTATTATACTTATATATTTTGATGTACTATGTACTGAATATTATTATATTTTATCAAAATGTTCTCTGTGGAAAGGACGTCTACACGTCCGTGAAGGAGATTACAACTTACAAGCGTCTATACTCTATAGTCTATACGTCCGCGAAGGAGATTACAAATGTCTATACATTCACGGAGGAGACCGGGATTTTTATACCACACGGTAATATGGTACAAAAATGTTGGCGTTTTCTTATCGAACTTCCCTGATAATGCGAGTACCGTAAACCTTACTGACTATTGTACACTAATACCAGTATATCACTACAATACTACATTGTAATAGTGTAATACTCGAGACCATTTTTAGTTGTTTTGTTGAAGTTAAGTCTTTGCTTTTGAGTGTTGAATATTAGTCACTATAGTTAACTATAAATGTGTAACTTACAATTTTGACCTCAACATTTAGTACTCGGTACTAACATCGTGCGCTTGCCGCCTCAAATTTTTCTTGAACCGATCGAAACTTGTCGGACGCACACGACATTTTTGATATTTTAGTAATTCTCAGACGTTGTTTACTTGGGTATGCGACGCGGTCCTTGAAATTGTTTTCAACGTCATCATATACTCGTATGAAATAGTAAGTCATATAAATTTCTCAGTCGCGTTTAAAATTTTCCATTTAACACATTGGGCGTACTGATATGAGATTTTTCAAACTATAAATTTCTACGCTTTGAAATTTGATCTTAACAAAATTATTTTGAGTATTCACTTTTAATCGTGTTTGTTGTAGCTATGTGGTCGGATCCATCATCAACAAACATGGCTTATGGAAACCAATGGATGAATCCTGCTTTATATAAAAATATGACCAATGAACAAGGTACACGCATATGGTAAAATGTTTGTTGTAAGGATTATATTAAAGATAAACTATTTTCTAGTGGATTGGGCGAGTTTAGCTCAACAATGGATCAAAATGAAAGAAACGCCACCTCCGATGCTACCTGGACAACAAAATAGAATCCCAACTTCTGAACATGCTTTACCTAGTCATCGCGTAGAACTTCAGAACACTTCAAACACAGTACCAGGAACAAATACAACTCTAAATAATCATAGTATTGTCAGTCCAGTTATACGTAAGTAGTTAACCAACAAGGGTGTAAACACTTTTCTTAAACATTTATTTTCTAGGAAATAATATTGAAAAACCTAGTGCTTGGAATACATGGACTTATCAGCAACAACAACAATGGAATTGGAATTGGGCATCTTCTTCATCAGCTCTATCTGCTAAACCACCTATGATAGAGTCAATTAATTCACTTAGACCTCCTTTTATTGTACCTCCTATATTATCTGAACCACCTCCACCTTACCCAATGATGACACCAAATAAATCATTTACGCCCAATGTAAGTTTTATAATTTTGAAAATATAAATTATTATTAATTATTTATATGTATATATTTTTAGAATTATTGGGTAGGTCCCAATACTAGAGTACCGCCACCTACTGAACCAGATCAATGGAATAAACTTAATATAGTTCCTAATGTAGATGATAGAACTCAAGATCCATCGTTTATTGGTAAGCGTTAATTTGTTACTAAACTAACAACAGAATAAATTTTTTTTAAATTACATTGCTATAATGCTTTTGGCTCATAATTTATCAGATGCTGCTAAACGAAAGCAATTGCCTGCTTGGATTCGAGAAGGACTAGAAAAAATGGAAAAAGAAAAACGAAGAAAAATTGAGCAAGAACAATCTATTAGTGAATCTGATTATTCTAGTTTCTCAAATGAAAATGTTACCCAGGAATTGCCCAATGTATCTACTGTTTTTATATTATTGTCTTATTCATCTTGTTTTAAGTTTTTTTAATTGAAAAAATATAATAATTATAAATTTTTTAGTCACCTATGAATATGGACCATGAAACTCAAATGGTTGATGACGATATTGAACCGGCGTCTTTTGATTATATCAATGAAAATGAACCTAGAAAAACTGAGTTTGTGAAGAATGATCTTTCTCCTCTCATTCCACGTAAGACTAAAGCTCAAATCTGGGAAGATACGGTAATACAGTTTTTAACATTTACTCATATTTACAACAAACAAAAATAATTAAGAGTTATTATTGTTTCTTTTATTTGAATTATAAAATATTTATAATAATAATTGTAATTGAATTAAATCATTTCAGATGTTAAGTCTACGGAAAATTCTAACAAAGTTATTAATGGATGTTACTAATGAAATGATGTTAAATGTAGTCAAAGATGTGCTAAAAAATACTTTACAAACAGGTAATATATTACATAATTAAAACTCCTCACAAAACAGTTGGAATCGTAAGTAAATTAGTAAATTAATGTATGAGTAAACAAAAATATTTTTTTTATATTTTAATCTATTATTATCAAAATTACAAAATGCCATGTAACAGATAATCAAGTGAATCAAAACCAAACATCATTAGCTGGTAAGCTGGGTAAGTTTTTAAAATTATTTTATAAATATAATATACATTTAATTAATGTGCTAATTAAATGACTTGAATCCAAGTTAAATATACTTTATGAAACTATTTTCAGTCATCCATAAATCAAACCAATTACTATTTACTATTAGTATTATTATAAGTTTTTATTTTGTTATAATTTTAATCAATATTTTTATGTATGACTTTTACAAAAACTTTTTTTTTTAATATAAATATATATGTATATAATATATATTAACTTGCATTAAATAATAACTTTTTTTAAAGGACTTGGAGTTTATGGTTCAGAATCTGGGTCATCTGATGAAAGTGATGAAGAACAGCATGCATCTGGTCATAAACAATTAAAACATGATTCTGATGAGGCTATTCAAGTAAATTACATTTTTACTTGGTTTTAAATTTCAATTAATTAATTTAATGTATTATCTCTAAATTTAAATTTAAAATAATTTATAATTGATATATTTAGGAAAGAATATTAAAACGTCAACGTGAGTTCAGTTATATTGAAGCGAAAATACTTATAGAATTGGATCAGCTTGAAGACCGAGAAAAACTTGTGAGGTCTAAATTTGATAATAGTATCAAATTCAATGGAGAAACTAATGATAATAGTAGTTTAACAGTGGAAAACATTCAGAAAAAAGGTAAAAATATGTTTGATTTATTTAATAAAAAATTTATTTCAAGCATGGTAGTTAAGTATTTAATTATTCCAGAATTAAAAATAGTTAAAAATCAATTAATTATATCTAATAAATATTTTTGTATTTTTAATAATTATAAGGAGGTTGGTTGTGTTGAGTTTTTTTTTTTTTTTTATAATTTTAATACCAAGTATAAACTATTATATTATGTAATATAGTTTTAAAATTATTCTTAAAGTATCAAACTATTTATTATAATGTCTTAATTTATTAAACTAAAATAATGATTTTAAATTTCAGGACGTACTGAAGATGACGAATCTAGTGATAAAATGGTCAAAGGGCATGATAAAGTAAAAAAAGAATCATCTAATGATTTGAATATTAAAAATGGACATAAAAAAAAGAAATCTAAATCCAAAAGATCGTCAAGTTCTAGTTCATCAAGGAGTAGTGTTAGTAAAAAGAGCAATAATACAGACTATAAAAATAAAAATAAGAAAAGCGATAAAACAAAATCAAAATCTTCGATTAAAACTAATGCAGATAGTGTAAAGAGAAAACGAAGATCGCGTTCTAGAAATAGAAGTAGATCTTATTCAATATCAAAGAGTAGTAAGTCGCATCCAAGATATAGGAGTAGGTCACGTTCAAAACATTATGATAGAAGATCGCCACATAATTATAGATCAAGAAGAAGTCGATCTCCTCCATCACATCATTCATATTCCAGAAAACACAAAAGTAAACGAACTAGTTCTTCTAGTTCAGATGAATCAAGAAGTAAAAAACACCGTTACAAACGATAATGTTATGGTCAAAATGTAATTTTAAGAGGTTAAAATTCTTAATTATTTTTTTATTAATACTGACTCATTAAATTAATTACATTTTAGTTTTATATGTATATATATATATATATATATACAATAGGTTTAGTTCTTAATAAATTAAACAATTCAATTAAGCTCAAAACAAAAAAGTAATGCGTTTTTTAATTATTTAATTTAATAATTACTGCCAATTCAATTTTTAATAGAAATTTATAATTTTCTCTCAATCATTTAAACAAATTTAATTTTGTACATTTATAATATATATGTTACTTATAATTAACAAATCCATATACTGTAATTTATTTATTTAAAATTAATAGTTTTTTATACATTCTACTTATTATTCTACTGTTTTTACCAAAAACGCAGGAACTTCTAAGTATTGAACAAATAAAAGCATTTAAACGTTTTAAGTTTGTCTCAGTGTCATCTCAACAAATATTTTAAACGACGTTAAAAATATTATTTAGCTTTATAACATTTTAAAACAACAAATTCAATTTTCACTCACAGAATTTAAAATTGTAATGTTTTTTTTTTTTTTTTTATCAAAGTTTTTGTTACTTATAAATTATAATTAACTAGCCCCTTTTTGTTTTATCTATTTTAAAAGCAGAAAATATATAAGTACACACAAATTGGAGTTATTTCTTAATATATTGTGGTAGTTTACTCCACAAATATGGCTTAATACGCAAAACATAATATCTATTTCTACTTTTAAAGTAAAAATAATATATTTAGTTTTACTTTGATAACATGTATTTTAACTAAAGAGCTCATTGCACAGATATATCATATAATACAATGTGTAACTAAAGAATTAATGTAAATTAATCAAACAATTTTTCTAATATAAATTTAATACCTATAGATAGATGAATAAATATTGAGTATTTAATACTAAGTTATGTACGTTAAAATGTGGAAAAAGTTTCAAAAACAAATAGAAAGTATTTCAAAAATATTGATAAGCTTTTATTTTATTTTAATGTGAATTTTAAAACTATTCAATGTTTTGATAAAAATAAAATATATTACACCAATAGTATAATTGATTGTAAATTATTAAGAAGTCTATAAAGATGAAATATGAATATCTGCAGAAAATATTATATAACAATTATTTTTTGAAACTAATGATACAAAACTGGTTCTGTTAAAAACAACTTTGATACATGTATATACGTTGTAAGTTTGAAAAAACAACAAAAAAATAAATCATGTGTCCATAATAGTGATAATGTGCTTGATGATTTTGCATATTTCCTGATTCACAGTTGAAATATCTTTGTAATAAGTATATTAACATAATAAAAACAAGCAATAACGTATTGGTATTACTTATTTTGTCTTAGTTACTATGGATTGCTGCTTGTGAAGAAGGTTATAGTATGGTTAAATAGTAAAACTTATTAAAATATTTTTTTTTTATAATTATTTATTCTTAATACAGTATCAACAACTTGGGTTATTAATTTCAATAATGATAAATATTAGTTATATATGAATAAATACATTGGATTTTCTAGATTAAATTATGAAAATTAATATATTTTATAAATTAAATAATTTTGTTGATTTTTTTCTTCGATTGGACCAAGAGCTTTAAAGAGGTTGTTCGGTATTTCTAGACTTTTTCTAGCTTTCCAATAGTTTTGATAGTACACAAGTACACAAGAAGATACTTGACTGTAAGAGGTTCTCCACAGGTTTGGCAGTGTATACCAACACTTTTATTTTATTTAAAATCTAAATTCTATTTGAAACAATTTTATTAGAAACACTCTTAATATTGTGTAGTTTTTAAAAAAAAATTCTAGTTGAATGTTTTGAAGTACTATGCGTTTCTTTACCATTTTTTTTTCCATTTTAAATGTTTGCATAACTATTGATGTTAATAAGTTACTTGTCGTACATGTAGATTGAAATGGCACGTTGATACTACAATCGGTTACAAAATAATGAATATGACAGGATACTTGCTTCCTCTTCAATTGCCACATAGATTGACATAAACATTAATTTATGATAAATTATTTTATATCTAAAAGCCTTATATGTCAGTTGCCAATTTGAATGTCAGTGTACCAATAAAATATACCTTATATTTAAAATGTAGACTTATTGTTTTACACACAAAATTTTAGTTCTTTTTTTTCTTCGTAAATTCTGAATTATTTTAATTTATAAATTTGCATCTATTTTGAAATAATTAATATTGTTTAGTAAGTTTTATATTAAACAAATGGAGACATAAACTAAAATTCAAAATAATATAAGTTATACTATTATTATTACAAAATAAAAGAAAAAATAGTAAAAATCTAAATATGATAAAAGTAACAATTGTAAGAAACTGAATAACATTTGCATATTCTAACATGTATTTATTATTCTACAGTAGTTTTATTAATATCCTACCAAGTAATAATTTATAATTATAGAGGATTAATGTGATCAAAATGTTTTAAAATAATATATTGTCTACCTGATACAAAATAATTAGCATATTTATAAATATTTAAATAAATACATAAAAATTCAGTTTTAAGGTTTGAAAATCATTAGTTATTTATATTTACCAGTTATGTAAGATTATGGGCTATAAAACGACAAAATTTTAATTTTATAGGTAACTTGGTAAATGTAAGTAGTATGCATGATATATTTTAAAAATATATTTAAAAAAAATTAATCTACAGAATATAGAAAAATTGTACACATAAAATTATCTTTTTTCTTAATTTAAATAATATAACTCAATTAAGTATCTTTTTTCAAACAATCCCAATGAAACTAACCAATATTGATTACGATTTTAATCTTAATGTCAAACTGGAATAATTTAAGGAGATAATATTTAGAAGTAAACCTATCATGTTTAAAGAGAATTAAAAAAATAGGACCAAATAATATTTGTTCAAAAATTTTAAATAATTATTTTAATAATGTTTTTAAACCCTTAAATTAGGTTAAACTACATCTTAATAATTAATTTTTCATCTTTTTCCATTGATGTGTATCCAAATTGTGTAAGTTTCAAATTTTCTTATTAATAAATCTCATGATATAAATAATTTAACAATCATAAACCAATTTTTAAACTCTCAATACCTTAAATATTCAAGGCTATTATTTCAAAAAATATCTAATTTGTTAATTAATTTTATTAATCTCTTACACTATGATTTTTTAACAAAACGCAATATTTCAACTAATTTATTACTATATCCAAAATTTAGATCTATCTAATAAATGCTAAAAATCAAGGTTTACTACTGATTTCAAGAAGATGATTAATTATGTTGGTCATAATTTATTATAACAAAAATTAAAATCTTTTGAAGTAGGCAACTTATTTCCTAGAATGGTTATTTTCATATCCAAGAGATCCAAAAAGCAAAACCTTAATTAAAATTTTGCAAGATTTCTCTGCACTCATTAGTTCATTTTTATTTTTTTATTTTCATAAATAATCTACCAACGGCTTTAGATGTTTTTATTAATATCCTATTATTTTCGAATAATGCTAGAATATATGTTTTTGCCATGAACAAACTAAATTTTAATAAAATTTAAACAAATTAGTCATAATATGAAAGAAACTTTCTGCTACTTATTATAAATTCCAAGTTATACAATACTTTATTCAAAAATTAATTCTCATTTCTTTCAATACTAAAATAATGGTTTACTTCTCTAATAATGTTATGAATTTTTTAAAGTGAACTAAATAATAATCACAAGTTAATCATATCTCACACAATACTAAGTTTTATAAATTAATTTACTTAAAGTTTTAAAAATCTGTTGAAATAAATAATACTTTAAGTGCCCAAGTAATATCAATTTTTGAATTTGATTCTCACTTGTTTTTAACACTCAAAATTCTTCCTGTCTGGTGATTTTATTGAAATAAATATCTTATAAAAGTTTAAAAAATATATAATGTTGTATTAAATATGATTTTTTGTTGTATTTTTACATAATATTAATATAGTTTCAAATATAAATTACTTTGTTTTTCTTTGTTTTCTGTTCAATTAAAGCTAATTATTTTTGTAATTATCATTAGTATTTCAATATTTATACTTTTTAGTCTATGTGTGTGATATATATAATTACATTTGTTTTTTTACTAGAGAGCATATGTCTGTTAGGTATACAGTAAATAAATAAGTATGTATAAAACAATTAACATTTTACAGTGTAAAATGAAAATTGAAAAAGATCATGATCAAAAATATTGATTAACATTAAACGAATAAATATACAAATGGCAATGATAAAATGACAGTGGTAGTATCGTACAATCACAGAAATTCAGTTTCATCAATAAAAATTTGGTAATAACATTTTATAAAATGTTATTATTATAATAACTATAATATAGACAACTTATACATTTAATACATTTATATTATATTAAATGTAGTTGCTTCAATGTTATTCATCTATAATATTAAAAGATTTTCAGTTCATTTATTTTCAAATTAGTTAAAAGGGTTTTTATCTTAATACCTATTTAAAATGATATTAATTTATTTTTTTAATATTAAAATCTAATTATAATGTTATGTATTATAATTACCATTTTATTAAACTCATAATCATACATTTTTAAAATATTTATTAATTACCTTAAGTTTAAATATTATTAATGTCAAAGTAGAAAATAACGTATACAAAATCAAATAAAAACTAAATGAGATTTAATCCTTTTTTTTAGAAGACATAGAAATTTTTTCTTTCAGTTGAAGTATACTTAGGCGTTGTTCATTAGGCAATTTTGCAATCTGTGCATCAGTTAGTTGTAATACTTGCATAATCAAAGCAGCCTAAAAAAATAAAAAAATATTATGTTTAGCTTATACATGTCATACAAATATTAGATTGAAAATTATATTACCTTTTCAGAATCAGAAGTTTTAACTGTTTGATTAGATGCTTGTTGAACTTGAGATTGAGAAGACTGAACCATTCGTGAAGGTACTTGATGTTCTGGTATCATTGGTGGTGGCATTGCCATAAAACTATTATTAACTCTGCGATCTCTGTTATAAATATCTCCAAATGATCGGTTATCTGAATCCATTGTTGATGACCGTGGATAATCTCTTGAAGCCCTTAAATAATATAAAATTGTTTATAATTATTATTTATTAGGATATATATTATTTCATATTATTTACATAAATGACTGAGGATGTTCATTCTTGAATGGTGGCGGTGGTGGCTGCCTAAAATCTTGGCTTGAAATTTGCCCGTGATACATATTATTATGTTGCCAATCTATATTATCTAAAATAAATGTAAGTAATTTTTAAGTTATTTATTTGTGAACATTTTTGTCAGATTTAGAACGAGTTTGAATCGCAAAATTTAAGTTTTTAAATACATTTTTCTATTAAATGATAATACCATTATTAGATGTTTGAGGCATTGACTGAGCTCTTGAAGTTGATGCACCGTTAGAACTGTGTAGTGGTGGCGGAACTTTATGAACAGGATATAGCATAGTCTAAAAAATAATCATAATATTACTTATATATTTAATTATGTATACTTACTTTATACTTATTTATTATATAAAGAAGTAATTTTTTATCATTATAATTAAGTTATACATAATTTATTATGCATTAAATGTATTGAGATAAATTTAAGTAATGAATAAATAATATTTTACAAAATTATATTAAATTTAATTAAATTAAAATTGTTAATTAATCCTTTGCAGACTGAGTGTAAAACATAATGAAAATAATATAGAATTTAAATGAGTAAAATGTATTGAGGACTAAAATGTCCCATTGGTCAGCAAAGGTTTTAAATATAATAACATATAACAGATAAAAGTACAAATCAGTGATCAAAATTATTTTCTTATATATTATATCCAATTTCATTAAATATTAATTTAAATCATTACATAAATAAATTATAATTACCCTAGCAACTTCTGGATCCACAATTTTCATTACAACTTGTGCTTGCAACAATGCATAACCAAGTTGAGGATTTTGAAGTAACATATTTCTAGCTTCTACAGGATTATTCTAAATATTGATATCAGTTAAAATAAATTAAATATTTATTTATTTGTTTATAAATATTACTTGAATACATTCTTTCATTTGTTTCATAAGTTCAAACAACTGTTCTGGTGGTAAAGTTGAAACCACATTATTTATTATCTCAGGTGCTTTTTCTGCATTAACAGCATCACCATAATGACTCTCTGAAGTAGGCATTCCCATCATTAATGCTATAATAGTATAATAGATATATATTTAAAATGTGCTTTATTTTATTTAAATAAGAAAATCATATAAAAAATTACATTGCATTTCTAGTCTGGATTTCTCTGTACAAGCATTGTCTACACGTAGAGTACGACCTCCAATTTCATAGCCATTAAGATTACGCATGGCACTAAGTGCAGTTTCTTGATCTTTATACTCACAGAAACCATAACCTTTAGGTTTACCAGTTTCTCTATCATATACCAATCTAAAAGAAACCATTTTTTTAAATAACAATAAAAATTGATTAATACAAAACTTACTTGAATGACATAACTGGTCCTACTTCATTAAATATATCTTTTAGTTTTTCTTCAGTTGCCTCGTATGGAATATTTCCAACTAAAATTTTGACAAATTATTATTTTAAATAAATAATACATTACAGAACCATTCAATAAACATACCAAAAACACTTCTCATAGACTTGTCTAAAATGTTTTGTTCACCCATTTTATTGATGTAGAAATAAAGTAATTTAAACGATAACTAAAAAAATTTTAATATAATTAGTGCGAAAAAGTATTGACAATTTTTAAAGTAAACACCCGTATGTTATATTGAAATGTTAAGTTAGACGAAAAACGGTACTTAAACTATAATAAATTGTTAGTAAAAATTGCTGTACTCAATTCGAAATGTACCAAAACACCTAGCAGTTAACTCGAATAGTCATACTCTTCAAGCGAACTACAAAGTGGAAATCGAAACGGTCAACTAACAATTGGGTTTCGATCATTGTAAAAAAATAATTCGTTTACAAATATATAAGTATACATGTGATATGAAATATTCCATTTTTTAGAACTACAGACGCCGAACCATAGGTTTTTGATAGTACGATCCCGATTCTACAGGGTAGCCAGACTGGTAAAATAGATGGAATATATACATCAATAATTGTCATATTTCGCCAAATTTACTAATATTTAAAATTTCATTCATATTTTGTAAAATGTTTTATTTGAGCAAAAACATACTAATATTAATATATTATTTAATAAGATAAACGAGTATATTACATTCACATAAACTAGTTAAATTGGATATCGTTTAAATGTTTATACGATAATTACTAATTTTCGCAGAAAAAAGTTACTCTAGATTACTCCGTGTTAAGTAATTTCGGCTTGGTCATCTAGTGATCCAAAACGGACATGTCGTTTTCCAGGGAAGAATATCAAATTTTTATTACAATTTAATTAAATGTAAATAATAGTTTTAAAAACGATAATGATGATGGCGAATAACCCCCGATACAAATGCATAAATGTAATAAAATTCAGTTATTTATGATGTATGTACCTATCTAATGTTATATCATATTAAATACTTTAATTGACATAATTATTATGTGTTATGTAATATGATGTACATGAGTACAGAGTACCAAGATAATGTAATAATGACTAATGCTATTCTAATATAATATTATTATATAATATATTATAAAATAAAAATGGTATAAAATAATAGTATATTAACAATATATCATTTGAATTTACGTCAGCAGCTAATCATACAAGATGATTCCATTATCATTTATCATTACGTGACAGTGTCGATCATGAAAATTATGGTTTAGATTGATAAGCGAAATTGTTATTGCCGAGTGGAAAAGATATAACGAGTAATAACTAACAACTATTGACTATAAAAATATAATAAGTGTACTAAGTTTTTCAGCCAAGTCGTTTCTTGGTAACATCTACAATTATAAATCAATTGACAAAAACGACTTGTCATTAATTAACGAGCCGATAACCTAGGTTGAACGCTGTTCGGCATTTTAATCCCATATACATTAAAATATTAGTAAATTACGTAAAATTATTATAATCGGACAATCTACTTTCTCTTTACAACCAGTTGAATGACGACAGTGTTCTTCAACAGTTCGTGGATACCTTTACTCCGTAGTGTAGTTAAATATTCGACTAAGCGTACCAGAAAAATGGTGAGTTATTAAAAGTGTTGTGGTATACGGTGTGCAATGTAAATAATATATTATGTGTTTTGATATTAAATCCCGATCTTGGTAAATGACTGTTATAATAGAGTGTAACTCGAAGTCAAAAATCATAAATATAAATTAATTTTCTGTCTAGTAACAGCTTTTCACATGTCAGTATTTTAAATGCAAATTATTCTTTTACCAGCAAACATAATGTTAAAAATTTAAAAAAATTTCATAAAAGCTTGGGGTGTGGTCAGTACCTAGTGTTATTAAACCAGGGCCACCGAGACTGCACCTGCGAGGCCCTCAACTTAAACCATATTAAAGGGGTGGCAGTCTGCCAAACTTATCTGTTAAGGTGAATTTTTGTGAGTAGGAGTTTCTCATAGTTTATTAACCAAGCACAAATCCTGGGTGTGGTCAACTATCGTTGAATGTATTCATAGTTATATAAGCAGCATTTATAACATCTACTGTTTTTAAGTATGTATGCACATCAGTGGTTCTCAACAAATTTTTTATGAACTTAGTATTTCATCAAAAAATTTATGGAAAAAAATCCATAAAATCAACAATTTTTTTAGTTTCATTATTTTAACCTTTTGGCTTTTATCAATTTCCAAAACACTAAATAGTACAACCGTCTATAAACATTTCAAGTTATTATATAATTTACCAAAACTTTATTGTTGAATAAAAATTTAAAACATTGTAATTATTAATTATTTCATCATTCAAAAAAAGATCATGAATCACTGAGTTACAATTATCATTATTTTTATTAAAAATATGGGATTATAAATAGGTGTATATTTTTATAATAACGGCAATTTTTTTTCTATAGATTAAACTAATATTAATTATTTAGGTATCCATAACAAGCTTATGATTAATTAAATATTTATTATTTATTTGCTTTTTTTATTGTATAATATGTACTTACCAGAAATAAATATATCTTTTATTATTTATTATTTAACTCGTAAAGCATTTATTTAACTCAATTACAGTCAAAATAAAATCTATGGTATTAATAACTACAATAAAAATGTATTGCTAAAATTTTAAAATTGTATACAAAGTTTCTGATAGGTTTTCATACAAAAATTAAAAAATATCAAAAAAACATGGTCAAACGTTTTATTTTTAAACATTTACAATATCTGTTAGCTTAAAAAATATATTCATCATTTTGTAGTACAAAATTCTTCATAAATTTGTGTTAATGAAATTTGAAAAAAAGGTTTGGTTGTAAAGTCACATACATTTTTTTATAATTTAAAAAATATTAACCATACCATTGTAAAATATTCCAATATTATTTAAATTATAATTTTCTATACCAAGTGAAATTTAAAAACATTAGTAATAATATCATATAAAATAATATTTTAATACTAATTGCTAGCTATATTCTATATTTAATTTTATAGGAAAACAGTTTAATCTACTGTATTAGGTACTAAGAGAAAAATAAATCACTAATACCAATTATGCAATTTAGCTATATATAACATAAAATTCTTAAAAGTGTATGCTAACAAACTGTTTCTGTTTGTTATGGTTTTTGTACATTTAATTTTAATTTAATTCATACATTATTGCAATCTATTCAATAAAAAACATTCAACATTTATTATATAGCAGGCAACTTCTTTGATTTTATGCAATTATTTTAAAAATGTTGAGAATATTATTTGATTTAAATTATCAAAGTACTTCCTCAATTAAATCTAATTTAGTACTAAAAATCACCCTCAAAGTCAGGATTTAATTTTTATTTCTTCAAAAGGTGATGAGTGATAACAATAATAACATATATTGTAAAACCAATAGTTGCATTCATGAGAATCTAAAATATGGATAACATTTAATATTAATTTTTATTTTAAGAATTTAATTTATCATATTATAAGAGTGCACCTAATGTATGTTAATTATTTTAGCCAAGTCTATTAACTAAAGAAGAAAGAGAAACATTACTCCAACCATTATTCTCTAATCAATGGTCATTAGTGAAAGACAGAGATGCCATTTACAAAGAATTTGTATTCTCTGACTTTATTCAAGTATGTATATTATATATTCATTTGATAATTCTATTAATTTCATATTTTAATTATGTTTTAATAACTAGGCATTTGGGTTCATGACTCAAGTAGCATTGAAAAGTGAAAAAATGAATCATCACCCTGAATGGTTTAATGTGTACAATAAAGTACAAGTCACATTATCCACACATGACGTGAGTGGTTTGTCATCAAACGATATTAATCTTGCTACATTTTTGGACAAAACAGAAAAAAATATTAAAGCATCTTCATAATTAATTAGTGTAATTTCTATGTAATAAATATCAATTTTTCTAAGTAAAAAAAAAAAATGTTTTATTATTTGTTAATATTGTGAATTGATGAAGTATTATCAAAAAAATTTCAAACACTATTATTTTATTTACAATTGATTTTATATTCCTTTATTTAATATGCTTAACCTAATAATATTAGTTAAGTATATGAAAATATTTGTTTATTAAACCGATATAAAATTTAACAATTATGCACTACTGCTACAATGCTTTAAGTATTGTTTGATTATTATTTAAATAATAAGAAAATAAGAATTTTAGGTAGGTACTATTGGTACTAATAGTAATCAACAAAACAATAATTATAATTTATAATAATAAATAAATAAACTTTGGTTCTTTTTATAATTTTATGTTGAAATAATAACATGGATAAAAATCATTCGACTTCTATTTAAATTAACTTCAAGAAAACATTATCATTTTTATGAATATCCTGTGATAATTATTGATTAATAATATAACTTGGCAGAGAATGTATTTAATTAATTACTATTTAATAAGGAATCTAGGTACCCCACCATCACATTTCCAGTTATCTATAACATAAAAATAATGTTCAGTTTATCTGATGTATTAATAGAACCGGTTAAAGATATATAATTTTTATTGTATAATAATTATAATTATTTTGACTTTTTTCTTTGTGGCAGATTATAAATGCAGGGGTGTTTATATTGTTTCCATATTTATGATTTTTTATAACATAGTGTAAACTATTAAATTGTGTTGCATAAACATTTTTTTTTTCATGTGAAAATAAAATATTTCAATGCTTATATAACTATCGTCTATCAATATTATCTAGTATATTTTATTAATATTATATATTAATAAATAATAAGATATTAAAACCTACTTACATTATTTTTAAAAAACAAAAAAATGCTTAAAACGAAATTGACAATTTTGGTCTTCTGGTTTCAAATGGTTCTACTTCTAGTTTAAATTAGCCCGATTTAATGAAGTCTTTATCTGAGTAAGAATAATTGTAAAGGTAATATTGATTTGGGTAATTGAAAGAGTCATTTTGGAACAGTTATGAAGATTGTATTTTGTTAAGCTGTAACTGTTTTATTCATGTTCAAGTAAGAACATGAACATACAATTGAAAATTATTAATAGCATAGATTCAACTGATTCAAATTATCTCGAACTACATTTAAAGTCCCTTGAAATTACCATTACACAAAATAGCGTTTTACCCTCAATAATTTGATTTAAAATTAATCGTTATTCATTATCTTAATTACACAATTATTATATTTATTATGATAAGAACATGGACAGATAACAAAATTCTTTTAGAAACTATCGAAAATTCCAGCGAGAAAGAAGACTAAATAAAATGAGGAGGATGTTACTGTAACAACAATTCAACAAGTTAAACACACTTTAAAAACACTAAGAAATTTTGTTGAGACTTCTTCTACAGGTATGTAAAATGACACTTTTTCTGCAATAATCCAATTTGGAAAACATCGCGGAAGGCAGACATAATAAAAAACTAACTCTAATGACAAATTAAAAAAAAAAAAGTAAAGACGATCATTTAAATAATTTATATTTACTATTTAACATCGCCTATAAAGACTACTAAAAATATTATTCTATGATCAAATTTGTTATACATTAAAATAAGTACTGACCTAATTATCTATGCAGGATAAGTCTATAATATACGTCATATTATCGTCATGTAAAATTATTTTTAAAATATAAGATTATCATCAAGACTTATCATATTCAATTCATATATAAGCTCAACAAAATTTTAAAATACCATCATTCGGATAGAGATAAAATCGATAATAATTGAATTATTTACTTAGTAGGTAGGTACCTATAGGTATTCTGAATTCAAACGCAGTAATAGAAACATTTTTTATAAAAATAGGTAGGTACCTACCTAATAATAAAAATGCTTTGGTCATATTTTCTGAAGTATTTATACTTTGAAATTAAAAAATCTTTGATCGCATAGATATCATTTTTTAATCCAGTAACCTGAATAATTTTTTAAAAATAAAAATTGTAGATACCTATTTAATTATAATCGACGATTAATGAAGTTTAGCTAAGAATTATAATTTTAACTTATTATACCTACCAAATTATTTATTACGACTTCCTGTGTTATAAACCACATTGTGATACAGAAATGCATAACATACGATTCGATAAATTTCTCATTCTGCCTATAATTAAAGAAACGTTTGAAAGTACCTACCTAATCTAATATTTTTTCCTTGTGTTATCGCAACTAAAATGGGGACTGTATTAGCATTATTTCCATTCTAGCCGCATCACTTATTGTAGGTAGGTAATCATACATGCAATGCATCATTAATTATTATCATAAGACAATTTAAAAAGCTGGGTGATAGACAGAACAAGTTCACTGATCTATCTATAGATCTCTCTATGTATCTATGATATACGGTCTGTAGAGATCGATTCGACTAAGAGCTTCGCAAGTCTCGTATTAACACACAATTTTTCCGAGCTGTTCGGAATTCACTACTCGTGAATTTCGTGCATACTCTGTTATAATCATTGTCCCATCCATAGTACCATAAGCTAACCTATAATCAAGACAAGTATAAAAAATATTTCTGGAATTCTACTTGACTTTTTTTTAATTTCAGTAAAAATATTCCCTTTGTTTCTCAAATTTAACTTGTGCAGGTATATTTTCAAATCTTAAGTACCTACAAGTTTAAAAAAATATACATTTTTAAACACAAAAAATTTTTATTCTTTTTGAGATAAAAAAAAAAATAAATAGATTTTATCAAAAACTGATATTACATAAAAATATTCCGCTTTTTCTTTTATTTTTTTCTGATTATTTTGAAAAATACTGAACATTTTTTATTTTGACAAAATAATTAACATAATTAATCATCATTAAAATATATACTAAAATATATAGCATTTATACTTAAACTTCAAATATATATAAAAAATAATTGTGATTGTACATTTTGTTTGTTTTTTTTTATTTTAGTATTAACCATTTATGAGAAACATTGTGTTCAATTTTCAAGCAATAAATTTTGCGCATATTAAGAATTTTACTGTATACAATATGATATTTTTTAAACATGTAGATTAATTTTAAGATAAGTACTAAGTATTTGTTTATTTTATGAATTTATTTAAATTATCTTATAGTAGATAAAGTGATATTGAGTAGAAAATTAATAACTATATTTAATCGTATAATATAATATTATGTAAATATATATTTTATATGATTATTGAATACTATTAATGAGAACTATAGGTACTTAATACACTAACCAATTATAAGTTTTAACACTTATCGGAGTTTCTCATTGTGCCATATTTTATAAAACACAAATATATTAACAAGAACTATTTTGAATATATTAAAATATCTACTTATTTATTAAGTAGATAGTGACTAGTGTTCTTACCTTGAATTATCTTTTGGAAATTTTAAGAATGTGGTTTTACCATTTGATGACTAGTTTTTGAAAAATAGAACATTTATGTAACCAGAATTCATTTTTAAACGTTTCGTAATAAACGTTAAAATATTTTAAGCTAAGGGAATAAATAAATGTTGTAAGTTTAGTATAGTATATTAATATTTTAAATATACAGGAATTAGATATTATATAAGATATTCTATATATCTACCCAAAAACTTAATACACTTCATAAATAAAATATTTTTTTATAATTTTATGAACATTTTATATGTCCAGTTAACAGTTAATGACAGTAACATAGACATTCAGTAAACTTTTAATGTTGGGTTAAAGATAAATTTTATTTTGAGTTTTAAATTTTAATAATTATAATTATATATTTAAAAGCATATATTTTTACTATAAATTTAATTCTTAAGTAGATACAAAGGAACATAATTAAATAATGGGTATACTTACATATTCATTAATATATTTATTTTTTTTGTTTACTCTGTACCGTATGGTTTCAGTTTAAATAATTAAATAGGTAATTTAATTTTTCAACGATCATCTTATAATTTTCAAAATTTCTACTCCATTTCATAAATCTATTTAGTTTAATTTTAACTGGCTGTAATTCAGTCAATTTTAGTTTTAGATCCACGATTAATTAAAAAAAATTGGTTTAAAAAATGTATATATCTAATTTTTGTTTTGATTATATACTACGCTATTTTTGAAATATTATGTTAGTTACCGTATTGAAAATTCACAGAACGACAGGGCTAGTAATTTTAAAACTGTAAAAATGTGTATTTCAGTACTTACTTACAGCTGTTATTTTTAGATCCTTTATGAAATTCTATTTAAACCTTAGGATGTTGGACAGAAAAATTTCGTGTTGCCTTAAAAATGAAACAATTGAATAGTTCTGTGACTGTCTGCACCAAAGCCACGGTATGAGACCATACCATTTTATATACCATGATGCATACGGTGCAGGCTGTCGTATAGATTTCCAAAGTAAATTTTATCAGTGTAATACATATACCTAACTTAAACTGAGATAACCTCACGTGTCTCCCTTTTAACGAGATTTTTATTAATTGTCTTGTGTTGACCCACAATAAACTTTGGTCCATGAAGCATATAATACGAGTAATATCGTAATATTAGTCTCATAGTTTCTATTTTCTGTAAAAACAATGTTGATTGAAAATAATATTAAATTGTACATATGTAAGTACTTAGAAGTGTATATTCTAACAATATCCACCTCCTTCAAAATATTATATTATTTAAAAGTAATAATTTATTATTAAAGAGTACCTATCTACTATCTATAATTACTATTTATTGAATATATTTTAAGACTTAAATTAGGCACTAACTACTAAGTACTAGGTATTGGATGGAATATATAATATGTATAAATATATGACTATTTATTATTTTAAATTATTATTCATAAGTACATAACTATCAAACATAAATATGCATAGACATGCGCACGGGGGTTCCGGGTGTGCGTGGGCACCCCCGACATTCA